GGAGTTGTATCCTTTGTTGTTACAACTTTGAGACCAAATGCAGTCACTGCTAGGCTTACTGGCCCCTCCATTATTTACACTTACACTGCCCTGGTGGTTGGTTGGTTTGTTTGTTGGTTGACCCCCAGGCGTTTGACCCATCTGTCCCGTGCCATTTCATTTGCTTTCTCTCCTACTTTTGCTGTGGTCTCAGATACTTCTCTCTCCTATGCAGTGGTGCTGCTGCTGATTGTGGTACCACTTCCCTTGTGGGACTTTGTTCTTTATGCCCTCACCAGTTGGAAATTTGACTTAAATACTGGTCTTTTCCTCCTGCCTATGACTTTTTCAAATTCCTTTCCCTGCCAGTTACATTTTTAATGCAATCTTGTAATTGCTGCTTTAAATAATGTTTCAAATCAGAGTCTGTGAAATAGGCTTTGTAGAAGAAACCTGTGTTATCAGTCCTGCTTAGCTATATACACTTAATAATCATTCTTTCCTAGATGTTCTTAGTATGCCACCTCTGCAGAGAAGGTTACTTTATATCTTGCAGCTTATTGTTTTCAAATAATATATCTGTCCCCAGCTTGCTGGGTAAAAGATTGCCACTGTGTCTTCTTTCACTTAGGTGCCATTTCTGTTTCTCCTTTTTTTTTTTTTTTTTTCCTTTTTTCTGTGAGAGGTTGTGTGGTCTGATAGCACTGTCACAGTGTGTCAGTCCAGAAATGTCAATCCTCAGCTCTGCTGTGTGATACCGAAGGCATATCCTTAATCTTTCCAGATCTGTAAAGTAGATAGCATAATTTATTACTTACCTTGCATGAGCATTAAGAGGGTTTAAAGTAGATTTGAATATCACTCTAGAAATGTATAATGCTACAAATGAATACTTGCTGGTAAGTGGAAGCTTTTTCATTTTTGAGCGTAGAAGGGCATAGTCTCCTCATCAATTATTACTGACAAAAACTTGAATTTCTGCTGTTGGAATCACTTGCAAGCCATTGTCCAGCTCATAGTAGCTAAACATGTCAGCTCTTCCTTGTGGACAGAAGCACTTTCAGCTGAAGCAACCTTCTGAAAGATCTAACTCTGGAATACAAATGGCAGCTCTCTCCACTGGAATTCATTTTGGATTTCAAAATTCCTGTCCTTAAGTTACCAACCACAGCAGTTCCGGCTTTAATCATGATCTGAAGCAAGGGGGAATTCAAAAGACTGTGAAAACCCCAAGAACCTGACACGACATCGAGCCATTTTTTTCACTCGTTGCACCTTACTGAAATAGTGTGGGATTCAGGTATCTCTGCATCCACAGCAGCACAGCTGGATTAGACGTTGGGTGCCTGTGAGCGGATTACTGAAGCTGTCCCTGCTCGATGAACCATAAACCTGACTTCTCATGGGCTGGTGAGTGCCTGTGAAGAGTGCATTTGCTCCTGCTCTCCTCTCTGCATCTCTGCAGTGTCACAAGAACAGTATCTCCCATGAATACATGGCTTATATCATGTTCTGTCTACAAGATGTTGGTCCTTTGTTGTATGAGAATCCTGGAAGGGTTGAAAAAACAAAGCAAATTAGATCAGTGCAGAAGGACAATGATCTTCAAATAGCTCTGAACACATAATAGAGTGCTGGGTGAATGATGATACCTGTGAAAGTTAGATTCATGCCACTGACCAAGCTTTAAGGGCATTTTGTACATTGTTAAGGGTATTTTGTACAGTACATGAATGTACATAAAAAGCAATTAGACGTAAATCCCTGAAAGAAATTTGGTCTGGTAGATAATGCACAGATAGGGAGTCAAGGGAGCTGTGGTCTTCACTTCTCTGTCTGTCTTCTGTCATTTGCCTTCCTTATTAAGAAAGTAAGCTTAGGGCACAAAATTGTCCTACTTCATGTTAGTGCACTGTAATGGGGTCCTGACCTTCGTGGGGGCCTCTGGGTGCCACTGAAATACACAGAGTAATAACAGGAGTGACCTGTTCCATCTATATCCTATTATACCGGTATCCAGCTTCAGTTACGAGGAACAATTTATCCTTGGAAATGTGGTGGAAGTCACCGCTGGAAACTGTGGTTATAACGGGTTTTTGTTTTTTTTTTCCACTTTTGATATAAGCAGTATATAAACACTGTTTTTCAGAAAGAAAATTGTACTTGAAGACATTTGTATGAAACAGAGCAGTTTTTATGGGCTCCTGTGCTCAGAAGATTTCAGGTCTGCATGCATGCCTGGTAAAGAAGAGAAGCAAAACTGAATTCTAAACTATTACTGTCTGGAGCAGCAGAAGTCATCTTCTGCAACTGCACTAACACCTCGTAGACCTCCTGCTCCCAGGATGGAAATGTTCTGCTTGCCTACAGCTGGTGGTGGTGCAGGTGGGAGTACAAGCCACCATAGCAGATTTTAGGCGTCTACAAGAAAATAATGGTGGAATGGCAGGAAAACAGCTGACTTCGTGGGATTGCTTCATTGTGCAAAGATTTAAGAACTGAGACTCAGGAATTTACTTACCCTGTCATATTATCAATTCCTAGGCGCTATCAGCTAAGACAACTTACAAATGGTTGGACTAGTAGCCTAAAGGAATTGTTGGCCTTTGCCAAGATGGATAGAAAGAGTTACATAGAAGATTCAAGTGAATCAGTCACTACAGTGTGTAGGTGTCAGGATGGATAATGAGCCTTTATTCTCTTTCTAGAACTGCAGTATTCTGCAATGGAAAGAGAAATATCAAATAAAAATGCTCTCACCACACATTGCCTGTAGTAATAAGCAACAGCCTGGCAGAATCAAACCAATCCAGGGAATTAGAGGATGGAATTGACAGCACATTCTTTTTTTTTTTTCTTTTTTTAAACATGGCTCACAATTCATGAGGGCATTCAGATGGTATGAAAAAAAAAGGGGGTGGGTCTGACTGTGCTGTTTGGTAGAAAGCCATTCTCCAACACCTATCATTTAGGGTCATAGGAGTAACTGCGACTCGAGTGAAGGGTAATTTGGAGTACTTCTTAGTTGCACATCAAACAAACACATTCAGCCATTTTCAGGATAAAAATTGCACCTTTATCACTTGTTCTGTTATGCGATAGTGTCAGAATTGCTTGTGTGATGGCATATAGCTCAATTCTTGGACAGATTTGTTCTAAGACGTGTTGTCAAACAAAGATGGTAATATGCAGCTGATATGCTATTTTATTTTCATGCTCAGAAGTCCTTTTAGTGTATTTTAGGTATGTACATAGAAGTTACTGGTAAACTCTTAACTGAATGGGAAAATTGGTGGACACAGCAGAGCAGTACAGCTGTCAGGGACAAAAAGCTGAAAATTACACGTGTGCTTCAAACAGCAAAGACAATTTTTGCTTTGTAAATTTTGTGTTTTCCTGTGGCAAACTAGATTAACAGCTTAGCTTTAGGAAAACTGAAATCCTTCCTTTATCACTGCATGTGGTGCGTTTTCCTGTTTTGCATTTATTGTGTCGTTGTTCCATATTTACCCTTCAAGATAAGATGAGAGGAGCCTGTAATACATCATTCAAGAGCTGATCCTCGTCCAAGGAAGTCCATCAGCTTAGGCTCTACTCAGAACATATTGGAAAGCCCTAAATGACATGATTTGATCATGGTCACCATCGGGAATCATCTTTGCAAACAGAGTTCTTTTAAACCACACACAGATTAACAAGTGACAAATGGGCAAAAAATAAAAAGTGCAGTGAGGCTTTCTAGTGTCTCACCAAAATATGGACTTGGTTGAATATCCTTCCCACAAACAACTGACTGCATGAACTGAAGTGATTCAGCTTTTCCAGAAGGTCAGCAACACAGCTGTGAAAAGAGCAAAACATTACTGTCTTCTAGTGACAACACTGTTTTCACCTCTTATTGCCTTTTCTTACGAAGTATGAACTGTACAGGAAGATGTGGCTGACTCCAGCAGCAAAGGTGAAGCCCAAGATAAGGCTGTGATCTCATGTAAAATGAATTCATTTAACTCCATCCGATGCAAATGGCGGTGTTTTTAGTAGTAGATAAGTATATTAGGAATGTAATAAAAATAGGCTAACTCAATTTTCAGAGTAGCCACAACTCAGATCTTGCAGGGCTTTCAAAATCAAGCTCTGTGGCTTAAGTTGTATCTGGGAAAATTCTGTGCAGCAAGTGGTGATGTCTGTAAAGCTAAGGGATGTAACAAGCACCATGTTGAGTAGTCCCAGCAAAGGGGCAGAGGGTGGCATCGTGCTAGGCCCATTTATTGCACGGGCTAAGGACCACTGAAGTCAGATCATAACAAGTAAAAGAAGAAACGGTTTGCAAATCATGTTTCTAAATACACTTTATTTTTAGGTGTGTAGGATGTTCTGTTTAAAAAAAAAAAAAAAAAGAGGTAGAAATTTTGTTGCCTTGCCTGGGCCACAGAACCCACGCACAGAATACATTAGATGATGTGGAGGGTACTCTGTGTGCTGGATTAATGCTTATTACGTGTATAATTGCAGTTGTATGTTTATACAAGCCAGGCCTTCAGTATAGAGAGAAATACAAATGTATTCTGGTTTTAGAAGAAAAAAGTTTCTGCAGATAGTAGTAGGGGATATATAACTGGAAACTCATATTCTGTATTTTGATGCGTAAGGATTGCAACTTGATTTAAGCTGCTTGGGATGAAAATTATAACTGCTATTAATCCTTCTGCTTCTGGGTGTATGCTGAATGCATCAGAACATTAAATTCCCCAAAACAGTATAATATTGGAAAATATTAGTCAGTTGCTTTACACGTTGTGTTTTTTTTTTTATACCCTACCACTGCTCTGAAATATCTGGCATTAGCTGTTATTAAAGGCGCAAAAGGTTAGGTTAGAAGGTCTATTGCAATTTAATTGCAAATATATTTCTAGGTTTTCAAATGAATATGAAAACTGAATCATTGCAAGCTTTTTAATTATTTATTTATTTTTTACAAGTTCTCTTTTTATCTTCTTCTTCCTCTCCCTCTATCTTTTAAGGAGCTTCCACCCAGAATTCCAATGCAGTGGAACCTGAAAAGCAAGTGGACAGCACAGTGAAAATGGCTGGAGTTATAGCTGGGCTTCTGATGTTTGTTATCATCCTCTTAGGAGCAATGCTTACCATCAAGAGAAGGTGAGTTTCTGCTTTGCCTCCATCTTGGCCCTCCTGGCTAGAGTGCTGCTATTTTAATAAGAACAACAGGTTTGGCAGACATAAATGGTTCCATTTGTGTTACAGGGGGCAGCACTTAACATATATTTATGTAATAACACCACTAAAGTTGCAGTCCCAGAAGAGATGCCCATTCTGCCAGATACTTTATCACAACAAAAGAATGGTTGGTACTCCAGAGAGTTAATGATCTAAGAGAAGGGACAGCAAATGAAAATGCAGGGACAAGTAGAAAGACATAATGAGCCACAGCTGTGCTCTAACAGAAGAAATGAATTCTTTCTTAACAGCCAAGAAAAGTAATGTCTTAAAATGATATGGTCGGGGGTCTTGTTCCCAAGCAAGTCTTGATGAGACACATTTCCACACAGCGATTCCTTTGTGGCCAGTGTTCAGCTGGAATATTATATGTTGCAAAGGGTTAGAAGTCCTTGAAAGAGTTAGATTTAGTTTATAGGAGGATGAAACTTTAAAAAAAAATCATGTATGGTAATGAAATTCATTCAAACAGTTCATTTCATGTGATTTTCTGTGGACCATTTGCACTTATACTTTGTAGAAGGCCATTGTAGCAGTTACTGTTTGAAGAGCTCCACATTTACAGTGCAGTACACTGATTCAGCAAACCACTTAGGCAAGAGATTTTCTTAAGAAAAGGATGCATTCTGTATGTATTTTTACCAATTACATTTCTGAGGTGAACTGTACTTTTTCAACGGTAATTTGATTCTACATGAAACGTGAGTTTGCTAGCCTGCGGCCCCTCGCTTGGGGAGCAGGTAGTGTTACACGTGAGAGCCTTGATGATGTTACTTGGTGTGCTGCAAGGAGCGAGGCTTGGCAAAACAAAACTCTGCTCCTCTACGATCTCTTATCTCTATGACAAACAGTCACACGTATTAGCCACACAAAAATAGGAGTAGCAGTTAAATCTAGGTATGATCTCCTCTATAATAATTCAGGGCAAATGGAACAATTTTATGATACAGATGCTGGAGTGGAGGGCTGGTATTCCCAAGGACCTTGGGAGGCTGGAAAAATGGCCTGGTTGGAACCTTGCAAGGTGTAGCAAAGGCAAAGGGTTGCATCTGGGATGGAGTAGCTCCTCACAACAGTACAGGCTGGGGTGACCAGAAGGCAGGTTTGCAGAAAAGGGCCTGGCGGCTTTAGAGGACAAGTGGCACACAAGCCAGCAGTGTGCCCTTGGAGGCAGCCAGTTGGGCAGTGTTAGCAAGAGTGTAGGCAGCAGGGTGAGGCAAGGGATTATTCTCTTGCTTGCTGCTGGTGAGGCTGCTCTGGTTGTACTTGTGTCCGGTTTGGGGAACCTCATTACAAGAAGGGTGCAAGTCCAGAGGAGGGCTACCAGAATGGCTGGGAGCTGGAGATTCTCCATCCTTGGAGAAGTTCAAAATTTGACTTGGATAAAGCCACGAGGGGCTTCCTGTAGGGGAAACGGGTTTCAGCAAAAGGTTGGACTCGATTACCTTTGAGTGGCCTTTCCAAGTGATGTGATTCTGCAATTTTTCAAAACTGATCACATACATACTGACTACTGTAGTGAGGCTGTAGTGAGGTGGGGGTTGGCCTGTTCTCCCACGTGCCTGGTGACAGGACGAGGGGGAATGGGCTAAAGTTGCACCAGGGGAGTTTTAGGTTAGATGTTAGGAAGAACTTCTTTACTGAAAGGGTTGTGAGGCACTGGAACAGGCTGCTCAGGGAGGTGGTGGAGTCACCATCCCTGGAAGTCTTCAAAAGACGTTTAGATGTAGAGCTTAGGGATATGGTTTAGTGGGGACTGTTAGTGTTAGGTTAGAGGTTGGACTCGATGATCTTGAGGTCTCTTCCAACCTAGAAATTCTGTGATTCTGTGATACTGTGAATTTCTATTGAATTAAATGGAGGTGTGGATAACCTATATTTTGAATCCAATTTTCGTTGTGTGCAAACACTTGTGATTTTGTGGACAGATGTGCATGCGTTTAGTAGTCTTGTCTACTGCAGTTTAACAGTATAGAGGTCTCTGGTTCCAGTCTCCCAGGAGCTTTTCAGTTCATAAGCAGAGAAAATTTGATATCTCCAATTAAAAACAAACAAAAAACAGAAAACTGGTTTCAGGAAAAACTGACCTGGCTTTCTGGTAACGCCCAGCTCTCATCCATTCCTGTTACCTTCCTAAACACTCCTTAAGAAAAGCTTTTTCTACAGCTTGAAAAGGAAGACATAAGGAAAGCTGTCACGATGTGCAGAGTAATGCCACATCTGAACATCCTGGTGTGTTTCACAAGCTATTAAGAGTTGATAACATCTTTCATTTCTGTCCCACAATGTGTTATTATTGTAAGTCATGTATATTGCTGGGCAGAAAACAAATGATGATTTTTCATGATGACCAGAAATTCATTATTTGAGCACAGTCTTTCTTGTGGTGCAGCCTGCCAAGAGCTAAATCAGAGAGGTGAGGATACTCTCAGGAGCCCCCACGCTCCCCCCTTCTGAATGCAAATAGACAAAATCACTGCAGTCTGTAGCTCTGCCTGCTTGCTGTCATTTGCAAAGTTACCCACTGGAATAAACACTATTATAAGAAATAATCTGGCTCATCGACTTTAAAACCGTTTCCCATTTAGAAGCTATAACAGTGCATGGAGAGGTTTGGGAGGCTTGTGCGCTCTCGGTCTGCGTAGCGTGCCTCCATATCACTGATGAACCTGCTGATTGTATCGGTTCTGGGTTTCCCTTGAATGGGTACCACCAGTCGCCTCAAATTGAGGCTTGGAGCTGCGTGTGGACAAGCGTTCCCTGAAGATTAACTTAAGCCTGCCAGGCTTATTTTGTCTGTAACCTAATGTGGTTTGGGGCTGGATTTTATAAAAGGAAAGGCCGCTTTGGGCCACACATTCATCTGAATTTCTGGGGGAGCACAACGGAAAAGTTGTACTCTGAGAGAACAGCTTAACAACAGAATTGTTCTTTTTCTCTTTTACAAGGAAAAGTGTTAGGAGCTTAAGCTCTGGCATTCGATTTTTGCATTAACCTTACTTGAAAAGAGATCCCCTTTTCAGTTCACTGAGGCTAATGCCTGTGTGCACAAGACAGTGTTGTCTTGCAAGGCAACAATGCAGAAAAATAATTTAATTAGACAGACTTGAGGCATTTCCTTCAAATGGAGCTGGAAAATATCACAGTGGCATTTGTTCATGGTTCAGGACATTATAGTTCATTGGTAATAGACACAGACATGGATATCCTGAATGAAGTGGTTCGCTAACCAGTACAAAGACCAATGGAAGGGGAGAGATTAGAAGAGAAGGAAGCACTGAGAAGGAAAGTGATCTAAGATTAGGATTGAACATGTCATCAGAAAGTGTGGGACACCTCAAATCACTATATTTTTTGAACCTATGATATGTAACATGGTAACAAATATTTCAGTAGAATGCATTTCAAAATCTCGAGCAACCGGGAAATTTCTGCGAGCTGCCAGGATTTCGTGGGGTTTAGTCAGACATGTGAAGCTAAATTAAGCCAGCGAGAAAGTTTATTCAGTGAATGATTTGGCTTTGATTTTTGCATGTGTTTGTCTGAAGTGTTTTAGCTGAACCTTGGGATCACATAGTCTGCTACATGTTTACATGTGTGTATATCTATGTTGAAAATCTGTGTATGTAGATAGTTCTTTTTTTTTTTTTTTAAATGGCTGTCCTACGGTATTTAAAATTAATATTGTGAACTAAATTTGTTTGCCTGGATTTGGGGACCCACCAGCTACATGAGTTACATTTTTGTAGCTCCAATATTACTGTATGTACAAGGGCATACAAATTCCTGCGGTGTAATTGAGCCCGTTAATTTCCAGCATGTGAGTTGGTGATCATTTGAACACTGCCGCTTCCTTTCATGAGCAGATAGATACAGAATACCTTGAAACACCTTATTTTTGTTGTATCAAGGTATGGCTAATACTCTAAGGAGCTTGTTTCTTTGTACTTAATATTAATTAAACATTTGCACAAGAGATTATATAGGACTGGTTAGTAAAAAAAACATGATGAAACAAGAAAAACAAGGCATTTATAACCTTCTTTGTGGAGGAAATACCCTTTGACTTTGCACCCCAGAAGGATTAGATTTTGGTCAATTCTGATTTCATCTGGACAGCCTTAACTCCTCTGTAATCGTGACTCACATTTCCCTGGAGTAAAGGATGTGACACTTTTCAGGCTTGTGTGTTTGAGTGGACAAAGTCTCTACTGACCCCTTTAAGTATAAGACTGAATAAATTGGATCAGACAGCCTGTCACGGGTGCACTGTAAATAAATTTCTTTAAACTGCTGTTGGTAGCAAAAAAGGAGATTTGGGGCTATGTAGGGTCTAGGATTAGTGCTTTCTATGAAAACGTAGCTCCTTATTCTTGATCAGGATTTAGATTGTTACCTTTAACTAATTAAGTAAGACTCAAGAGTCTCTTGAGCAGAACATATCCAAGCTGTAGGGTGGAATTACTGTAGGGATATTTGCACATTCAGAGACCCCTGTCCTTTCTGTGTCCCTACTGAAGACAGATGGTAGGCAGGCTCTTCAGCTTGTGTTGTACATTCTAGGATCAAGTCACGTTTTTAGTGATCCCTAATTCTGACCAGTTTTAACAGCTTTGAAATATTCTCTAGGAAGTCCTTTTCCTAGGTTGCATGTTATGGGAGAATTTGAGCCAAAATGGCATGTCCAATTCCAAAATAAAAACCTCCTTTTGTTTGCTTTCCTCTGTTTTCTGTCCTTACAGAATAAATCTTACATAGCTTTCCTCAGCAGCCTTGAGGGATACGCAGCTTTTTATCGAGACGTGGGTCTCTTGCGATCACACATGCCCAGTGGCTGAGCATGAGAAAAGCAGAAAGTACAGCGAGATGTTCAACAGAGAGACTGCAGCTTGGAGGGCTCTGTGAAACCTGACACTGGTGTAGCTGAGGAGTTTAATTAAAGAATATTTTGGGGTGTGTAGGGGAGTGGGGCTAGCTGTGTGGGCTCTCATTTTCCACATCCTGGTGATTTTCTTTTTGCTTAGAGGTTCAGAGGAGCTCAGAACTACACAGTGTAGCTCACTGGCAATCGCTACACCATAACTGGTGCATTGCTGTCACATGCAGAATTTCTGAGTTTCAGGGGATTCTGGCATTAGGTTAACAATATATTTAGGTGTATCTTGGACTCAGTCATTCAAGTAAGCTGGGATTTATCAGAAATCTGACCTGAATTTCAGGTCTATAGCAAGGGCCACCACCACAGACTGTGTCATTTCAGCGTAATCCTCTCATACATCTGTAGTCAGCTGTTTCTTCCCAGGGGAAACCTCTTCATGGGACAGCAGACTGGGAATGTATGAGGAAATGGGGCAGGTTGTATTTCTAACAACAACAAGAGAAATACCAATTGTGCAAGTTGTGATATGCTCAGTCAGTGCATAGCAAAGAGAGCAGTTGTGCCCAGAGAGTAACCCTGCTGAATCTAGCTTCCACGTGTGCTTATGAAAGTTGTATTCGCAGCAGCCATAAAAGCAAACACTCGAATCCTTTGTCTATCCTTGTAAGCATTTCCTAGTATTTGTAGTCCTTTGAAGTCCCTTCAAAGATGGGACTTCAAAATTATGTAAAAGGTTGAATTTTGCTTCTCATTGTTTTTCTCCATCTTGACTGTGACTACCACTGTTGAGGCTGCCTTGTGCCTTGCTGTTAATCTGTAATAACGCGTGCTATATCTGTTGCAAAAGAGCATTTTCAGATAAGCTCTTCTTAAGTTATAAAAAGGGAAGACATCACTGTTATAACTGTTATAACAAGTTATAACTGGCTGGCAGGACTCATTTTATGTTGCTGTGTAAAAATGTTCTGAAATCACAACGATGCAGAAAGCTAATACATAACCCAAGTGATCATCTATAAATATGTAGTGGTGTTTGAATTGTTAATGATCTATTTGCATTTTAGAGTTTGAAGCTTTGTTTATCGTTTCACAATTTGTTCATTGTCTAAACATCCTGAAATTGAGATATTTTTACATTGCCGTTTTACTACTTGTTATTTAATTGATAGCACTTAGTTAATCCTTTCCATTCCAAAAATCTCAAAGCACTTTATAGGCAAAGGTAAGTCTCATTATCTGTGTTATTGACATGGCAAAGTAGAGGAAGAAATTGGTGAAGGGATTCATTCATGTGTGTGATGTGAGTCAGTAGCAGAAGTGGAAGGCACGCGTGTGCTCTGTCTTCAGTTTGGCATGCATTCCTCGGGACCTACACCTCCCGACAAATGTTTAGAAAAATAAGTAGCTCAGTACCAGTGGCAGCACAAATACTTTGTATTTTCTTTTAATAATAATAACAGTAAAAATAATAAAATAAGAATAAAAATAATAAAATAAGAATGAAAACGATAAAAAGAGGTCATATAAATCTAATTATGTATTCTTCTTTCTTTTTCCTATTTTGGATATTTTGTTCATCTGACTGGCCGTCAATATTTAGAAGAAATGCATACTCCTACTCCTATTACTTGTAAGTATCTAGCTGGGGACGATGTTTCTTGAGCATGCTTACTGTGGTAATTTTGTGCTTTGTTGTATACTTTTCTTTTATCACTTTTTTAACCATTTCATCTTGTCTTTCCAGCAGCTTGTGTTTTATTTTTCTTTCACGCTACTGTACTTACCCTGTTTCACCATTTCATCTTTAACTATGCCTGCAAACACAAACATCCATAGATTTGTCAGTTATGATTTATAGATGTTCAAATGCTAAAAAAGAAATACAGAATGTCCCAACTGCACCTTTTTTAATTGTCCACTATATTTAGCCAGACTGCAGGGAAATTCACACCTGAAAGGGGAATTTCTCAGGTATGGATATAAGTACTTTAAAAATGCAATGTTTCTGGCAATTAGGACTTGATCTCAGCCAATATCCCTGTTCCTGGAGCTGCCAGGTTCTGAGTGCCAGTTTAGACCCATGAATGATGAAGCAGTTCAGATTTTCAGATCTAAATCACCTGTCCTGTCCTAATGACAATGCTGCATAATTAGGGCAGTTAAGGCACGTGAAAATGCTTCACACACCAGTACTTTCTGGAGCCATCTGTTACCTAAAGGTTGAAGGGCTGGAAAGTAATCAGGGCCAAGCTGTTTCTGCCACGATAACAGTTGTCTGAGGATCAGGAGGAGGGGACGACTGGATCAATGATTTGAAGAAGGAGTCCTGAAGAATTGAGTTGGATGCCTTTGCTGTCACCAGAGAGTTGGGAGGGATGGAGAAGGCAACTGTTACTGCTGAGGGAAACAGGTCTCCCCTCCATCTCTCACAACCACCAGCCGTATTGCCCTCAAAAGCAGCAACCTGCCTTTCTAGGGCTCTGGCATAGACAAAATTGTCAAAAGGGCCATGTGTGTTTTGCCAGGGCCTCTGAGCCTGCCACCCTGGAGCCTTCTCCTTTGGCTGTTTCTGCAGTTCATCTTTGTCTTGATCTTGTGCCTTTATCCTGTGAATTAATCTGGAAGTTGTTTGGTAGGTCAGTGAAATTAATGCATTTATGTTCTACCATTTTAGTGGAAGTTGACTTCTTATTCATGAGAGTCAAATTTATATCCATCCTAAGAACAGGGCAAAGAAGTATTAGGATCCCTATTCACCTGTTAGAGTGGTTTTGCTTCTCAATGACCTATGAAGAAATAATTGAAAGAGGAACATTCACGACTTGCGAAGTTCGTAAGGACCCAAAAGACACCCTAGTGATACTTGAATTTGTCCAGTTACATAACTGTAAATGTGGAGTAACTCCATTTTCTCTAGATTCCACGCTAGTTCACCAAGAATAGAATTTGACCACAAATGGAAAGATTTCAACAGAGGTTTAACTTAGTGTTAAAGTAGAGGACATTTTAGCATGTAGGTGCTACTAGCTAGTTGCAGTTATTGCCACAGCCTTTCCACGTTTCCCATAAATATCAAAAAAGTTCCTTCTGCGCTGTTTTACTGTTATTTCCTCACAACCAGTCAGCACCATTGCCTGAAAAATGCAGTCCCCATTTCACCATTACAATTTTGTCTTTTTCCTGCAGGCAGTAGATGGTCAGAACATTTCCTGCCTTAATTATATTTTGAGCTGTGTGCCTTTAAAAAAACTTGAATCAACTTCAGAGCCCTATACTACCCCTTTTTACAACTGCACCACAATGTTGCTTTAGGTAGTCAGCTGAGGATTACTCTGCAACAGAGAAAGTGAAGCTGTTCTTAAGCAGTCTCTTCGCTGTCCTTCAGTGGCTTCTGTGGATCATGGGTTACAGGAGGTTGACTCAGGAAAAGTGAAGAGGCTGCAGGTAACCTAAGCCTGAGGTTGAAGTGAAATTCAGCAGCAGCAGAAGCAATTGGCAGTGGGCTGTAAAGATTTAATAAAGCAGAGGTGCACCACACAGCATATCACAGTACAGGGAAGCCGGAGGTGTTATCAGGCAAACTTACGTGTTCATAGCACCTCACTGAAGCACTGAATGGAGATTTGAGCTCAGGATGCAGAAATCGTGGAACTATCTCTAGTGCTTCACCCAAAACTGTTTGCAGAGAGCTTATTCTTAGCTCCGTGCTTACGGTGTCCCAGGTACCACATCAAGCATGAGCTCTGCTAGCTGGAACATCTCTGTGGTAGAGGGTAACACACAAATAGTTGTACACGATATATACTTCCAGCATCAAGTTGTGCTTGGCAGTATTTGGGTTTGGATTGGCATTTGGCCTGTATGCTGATCTGCAAAACCAAGCTCTTTATTTTTCTCCCAAACAACTGTCAGCATGTGAGGGACATTCCAATAAGTCAGGGAAGAAAGCAGGAGAATCCATCAGGGAGCATAAGATGGAGTTTTATTGAGTTTCATGTTTCAAGTTTCACATGAAATAGGGTGTTTTATTATGATTGCAGATGAAAATCCTAAATTGCTAAGGATTGTGTAATTCTTAGCAAAAGCTGATAGAAATTGCTACAGCCTCTTATGAACAGAGAGGTTTGATTTAAGTTTATTTGAAGTGTTGTGAAAATAAGAGCAGCAATATGTATATAGAGAGATTTTTTTAATAGAATTGGCTTCCATGCTATGACCTTGTCCTGAAGCAAAATTGAATTCAATGAGTTACCAGTATTGAAAAGCAGGTTCTCAAATAGATCTGTTGGCAAACCTTTAAATACAACCATATGGACTACATCACTTTATTTTTAGCTTCAGTTTCTGGACTTCAGATTTCTTGTTCTTGGAGTAATCCTTGTTTGCATTAGGGTAATTCCTTTTACCGCTTTGTCATCTGCTGCACTGCCGTTTCTTCTTCTTAAGGAACCGTAAATCTCCAACCCCTAACTCTTCTTAACAGTTCTTGATGATATATCTAAGCCACTGAGATTTGAAGTGCTCACTGCTTCAATGAGACCATCAGAACTACCCACTTATGAGAAGCTTTTTCCAGCTATTTTGTGCATATTGGATGAATTATTATGGGAGTTTTGTATGGCGACACTTCATTAAAAGCTTCCTACAACATATGGGAACAGATGTTATTCTGACTGAAAGAGAAGGCCATAAAGATCTTTAACACATATAAAGTGGAAATACAAACCCAGGAAGCCCCTGTTCCTCTCTTGATAAGTCATCATGCAGGGCTGACTTCATTTTGGGTACTTCAGTCTACCCATCACTAGAAGTCAGTAGCAGATGCTTTGAAATCCTTGGACAGAACTTGCTGTACCAATGTAGTAGGCTAAGTCCTCATGGTTTTGTGATGGGAAAAGAGAGATGGAAAATTGGAGTTCCTGTCCTGATACGCTCCTTGTACCACTGTCACCGTGGTGAGGCATGAGTATTCTGAAATACTCTGTATTTACACCAGTACAAATGTTGCCTGAATTTTCTACACAATTGCTCTCTCTGACACATTGCATGCAAGTTTAATGCATTGTAAGATACAATGTACTGTATAACAAAGCAACCCATCCACCTCTGAAAGTTGTTTTTTTTTTCTTTTCTTAGATGAAGCTATAAAACATAGGCAGCATTGCATCTGCTTTAAAGGAGGTTTTGCATTTAATGACAGACACTTCTTTTACAACAGTATTTTCCATTGCAGCAACGCTTATCAAGGCTTTATTATTTCTTCACCAGGAAAAGGAGTGGAAATGTTTTATTTTCTGTGTGCAGTTGTTTTTTTGTTGTTTTCTGTTTGTTTGCTTTTTTCCTTCTTCTGCTGAGCTGGGCAATGGTTGCAGACTGAAATTTAATCAAGACTGCTATCAGACCATAGAAGTGTTTCTGGAAATTAGTAGATTCATGTATATATTGCAAATGCTGTTTATTGTTATTTATAAGAAAAGGCACTCAATAGCCAATACATTGCTTTCCTTTGTCACTGATCTGGCCAGAGTACTTCAACTCCCATTGTAATTTCATACAAGCTTTAATTGTGGTGGTGGTTTCAGCTGGGAGTTTCTCTTCATGGGACAGATTCTGTCCAAGTTAGCAAGCTGAATTTATACTTGCATTTTCTGAAATAACAGTTTGTGTTGAATTTATTCCCACCGCCTGTAGGACATTTGAAAAGAAGTAAAACATTGATTTTATTTACGAGTATGCTGTTGTATAAATACCTACATGCCTAAAGATTTCCATATATTTCCCTGGATGGTGGGATCTGCCTGCACAGGTCATCTTGCTAAATCAGAATGTTAAGAAATTATTTTTCTCATTAGATACTGGAAGAACAAAGGCATAAATCAGTGGCCATGGGCTAATTAAAGCAAATTTTAAAAGAAAATTCAGGAATTATGTGAGCATTTATTTAAACATGTCTGTGAGGTGAGTGCAAACTTCAGCTTTGCAGAGGGCTGTGCTTGCTGACTGTTTATTTCAGTACATTCTTCTGCATGGCTCTCGTGTACACTTGCCTTGTCCGAAGTTGATATTGTTGTGAGCAAAGGTCTTCCACAAACAGTGATTAATTCGCTCAAGTAAAGCTTGGAGAGCGTAGCCCTCCGTTTTCCCTGACGCTGAGTTTGTATATGCAGAGGTAAAACTGTTCAGATCATCTTTGGACTTACACCTGCATTGCAGCCCTTTCTCATGTCAAGTAGCGTTTGCCTTGTAAGCAGCAGTGGCGCAGTCCTCACAGCCTCTGCCTTGGTGAATTCCTTCTACTCAGGCTTTGCCATGGCACACACTAAAGAAGAACAGGCAAAACTGACTTTGTGCTTGCCAGTGTGGAGGGTTTACCCTTACAGAGGCTGTGAGAACCAGTGAACTGCCTGTGCCCTTAGAGCACAGGCAATTTCTGAGCTTTGCTCTACAGGAGGCAGAAAGGGAGCGTGCGATGTGCTGTGGTGTTAAGCATGAAGGTGACAATGCAGAGTGTAGGAACAGGGAGAGACACCCACCTGCCCAGTAGTCAGAAGATTTCACAGCCTACCTGCCTGAGTGCTGGGCAGTTTCTGTGGTGTATAGTCTAAAATGAACTCCTTTTCTTGTAATATAAGCCCATTACCTTTTCCCCCAGCCCCTAGAGACTGGGAGAACTTTCCTGTGGTATCCTCTCATGGATTTGAAGATTTGTCAGCTCTATTCCATCGTCTTTGCTCTAGATGAAAGAACCGTGCTTCTTTTGGCCTTTGCTTGTAGGTCACGTTTTCTAGATTTACCTTTCATGTTCTGCTTTTGTGTATGTACCTTTGGTACACGTCTTTTTGAAGTGCAGAACTGGATGCTGTACTGCAACGGGGGCTTTACCACTCCTGCATCAGAGCAAAAGGATTACCTGTGTCCTGCAGACCACACAGCCATGTATAATCCCTGCCTTATTTTCGCACCAACATGAAACTGTTCTTTCAAGCTGAGCGCATGATCTAGTACAGATCAAGGGGGCAGAGATCCTTTTCAGTAGATCTGCTGTTTAACTAGGGCTCTTAACTGGGTATTTGCATGGTTGGGCTCTGCCCTACATTTGTGCAGGTTCCATAATAAATAGTGTGTGTACTCCCAGCAGGCTGCTGCTCACAAATATCTAATAGGAATTGTATTTTGTAGCTTTCTTAAATTGCTTATTTGAAATGAGGGCAATATGCAATTTTTGTCTGTAGGAGGAAATTTCATGTTTAACTTACATACTCTATACCTAATGTCTAAATTACCTGTGCATGCAAATCTACATTATAGTATATATAATCCATCCTTGTGAAACATCTAAAATTAAATCTGTCAGCGTACACGTACCAGAGCTTTTTAGGAGTGGCAGTTACAGATTTAACATTCACGCATGTAAAATTGATATAAAAATTTAGAGAAGAGCTGCTTTTAAAAATATAATCCTTAAAGTTTACCCAAGCCTCTGCAAAACTGGAATCTGATCCTATGAATTCTTCTAACTGAAAATATTCCTTGAGTTTTTTGATCGATGCCTATGGTAATAAATGCTTTTAGCTTGATACTAAGTTTGCATTCCTTGACTGTTAAACTGGAAGCCCCACAGTTTTAATATAGTGTTTCAGCATTTTATATATATTCACTGATGAGCAGAAGTTTCAAAAATAGCTAAATCAAATCTCCATCGTAATTTTTTTTCTAAATTTGCATTTAGTTTAGGTTCACTGCTAATAGCTCTTGTCCTTGCTTTAGTTGGGTCAGCTTCAACTGCCTGATTATGCAGCTGGTTTCATTTTTTTTTTTATTCTGCTTTGAGCATCTTTCTGTCTCATCACTCCTTTGTGTGTATAATGCCCATAACCATCATCTCTGCATTTACAAACCCTCTTGAACTGAAAAGGGCAACCCAGTAAACCCCATCCATGGATTCTTGTTTTCTTCTTGGCACATTTTCCTTACGCTTAAATGTAAACCAGCCATTAATACCGCCGTACTCACATTGTGACATTTCAGTCTCTTCACCCTATGTTGATTGTATCAGACTCTTCTTCCAAGTATCTGCCCAGTCCTTTATTTCTTCCCCTTTTCAACTGCATAATGCATGAGACAGAAAGTGTCTTCTCGGTGCCTGGTGACAGACTGTGCTGGTTACATGCTCGAGGCAGCCTGCAGCTGGCCTGTGATTGACACTAATGCACTGATAGCAGTTTCCTCGGGATGTTGCCGTTGTTGTGTTTAGGGGAAGCTGGTCAGTAAGGAGAGCAGGAGCCGTGTCACTGATGCAGCTTGTCAGTGATTCACAGAGATCTCTTGAAGTGCCCTATTTTTGGAAACAGCATTTTCAGATAAATGCTTTTCCAATTCCAAAGACATTTTGACATGCTGGCAAATAAACCTCTACCTAGCCGTGGGTTTAAGTCACATCCCTAACATTCTAGAAAGTGCTAGTCATTTGATTTTGTAATCCTTTCTATGAATTATAAAGATGGTAAGGACCAAATAGGCTTAGTCCTGTGCTGCCACTCTATCCAGACACGTAACTGAGACAGAAAAGGCACATTTAGAAACTGAGAGCCCCTTGATGTGTCTGGCAAGCTTAGCTCTGAAATCCTCAAAAGAGATCTGTCTTCCTTTTCCCTCTAAATTTAGATGAAGAATTTTTACATTCTTGGAAGAGAGAGGAAGAAAGGTGGAAACTGATAATGCCATGTCGAAAGCAAATTGTAGCGCTGTCAGATGCCAAACAGTTTTCCGTGTGGCTTCTTCTGTGCACTTCTCTCTGAACTTGCATCAGCTTCAGCTGGTCCACCTGTGGGCAGCCTGCGCAGAGAGGCTGCCGTTTGTGCGTGCGAGTTAGGTCGAGAACTTTAAACTCATGTCACCTTTTCTTTTTAGGCATTCAAGCCAATGTTTTAGGGGCCTCTCTGTCTTCTACAGGACCAGGTAGAACTGCTTTGCACAGGGCTTTTGTAAGCAGGCCTTCGGGGACTCATGGGCTTGGGTTTGGGGTGATTTTTTTCCTGCGTAGAACATGCAGAAATGTTATTGCTTGTCCACTGAAAGAGAAGAGGAGTTTGCCAGCTCCAGCTCTTTGTAGCTTATTGGCATTTCTGAAAAGAAACCGAGCAATGGGACTTAGAGGTAATTACTGCCACAAATAATTTAATCTGGATTTAATAAGGAAGTCACCCTTTTTGACTCGCTATTTTTAAACATCAGTAGTGCTAGTGTGTAATGGCTCACCCCAGCAGTCCAGAGTGCTTGTTATTAAGGACTTGTGCATTTTGGATTAGTGCTTCCCACTGAGAAATTTTAATTCCTGTTGCCAAAGAATTCACATAGCCGTGTATGATTAGCAAATCTAAAGGATTAAAATAACCGCATAGCAGGGTTAATACACTCCAAGACTATTGTTGTTACCTCAGGTACCACAGCACAAAAAAAGGGGGCTCACATGGCTGTAGCTCATAGCTAATAAATCTGGCTGTGCTAGCATTGCTATGTACTGGAAGCAAAGCTTTTAACATCATTAAACACCAGCTTTTTGCTTCATCATTCAAAGCCGGTTCCTCTGTTTGCATCTTCATCTACAGAAGTGGATACATCATGGAGATTTTGTGAGATCTAAATATGCACTCTATAATTACGTACCCAAGTTGAATAGCTGCGAGTTGGAACTGAAAGCACAATGCTGAACCTCAACTGGCTGAGCAGATGAGAGAGATGCATTTGTTCAGAAGTTTGCAGCAGACATTAGACATTTCTCCACAATTTTGTGCTCTCCTGGTCTGGATTATGCAGCTTGCCTTAAGATAGTCATTTCCTCCAGACACGGACAAAGGTTTTAGTTCTCTGACCTTTCCTTGCAAATGAGTGTTGCTGGCCCAGCTGCCCCACCTCGTGAAGGGCTGGGGCTCAGCTGTGTGCTTGAACTTGCTAGTAAATGCCACTCTGACATGTGCTGTGAATAAATAAAGCCTGTTGAAATATGTTGCAAGGAATATCCTTTTAAGAGTCTAATGAAGTTTAAAAGATGGGTAGTACTTACCATAAGCATGTCATCTCAGTGAAGAAAAACCTCTTTGCAAAATGATTTAGTTGTTAGGTGTTTTTTTTTCTTTGAGTTAGGGGGGAAAAGAGGAAACTAAAACTCCTACTTACAGTAATCTGTTTTTCTCCCTTTTATTTTGTTTTATTTTCTTATATACGGAAGCCATGTAAGCAAAGTTCTTTGCTGGTTCCAGGGATTTGTGTGATATTTTTGCAAGGTGCGGGTTGCAGAATGTCACACATTCATTTTTAAACAGTTTTGCTCTCTGATATGAATGAAGCACAGGGCGGCCAAATGTCAATGGGAGCTTAGCAGCTCACTTTTTCTGCTTCTCTCCATTTCCTTATTATTAGCTGTGTTTGCAAAAGAGGAGCCTCGTTCTTGGCTTTGTTACTGTTTTTGGAGCTGGCACTGTTTCTACTTTCACCAATGTTTTTGAATCGTACAGTCACAGAATGGTTTGGGTTGGAAGGGACCTTAAAGATCATTCAATTCCAACCCCCCTGCCGTAGGCAGGGACTCCTCCCACCAGACCAGGTTGCTCAAAGTCCCATCCAACCTAACCTTAAACACTTCCAGGGATGGGACAACACTTCAGGGACTGGGCAGACACTTCCAGGGATGGGGCATTTTGAGTTCTCTACAAAATAAGAAGAGGCCCAGTACGCACAGAGGCGTTTCCGGGCACAGTCATTTTTCAAATTACTTCAGCCTTTAACTTGCCCCACTCTTCCTCTGACTGTCGATCCTCAGTGCAGTTTGGGTGTTTGTCAAAATCTAGTACAGACTGCTGCTCTCAGTGCCCTGCTCGGGGACAGGGCAGGACTCCTGCTCCAGCCACCAGGTTGTGCACAGGGTCAGGCCGCACTCTTCACCGGAGCCATCAGAGAAAGTCCCAGGTGTAGGTGGCCCCGTGGGATGGATGTGGACATCCCGTGTACCTCCTAGCGAGCCATTCTGATCACTGCCTTCGCCCAGTGTCCTCTGCTCTTCCTGGAGCAGATGTCACCTGCTCCAGGGGCTTTCCTTATGCCACCCTCTTCAATGGTGACTTGTGCTCCTACTGCTGGGGTGATGCAGGCTTGTGCACGATAAGCTACTGGGAGGGACAGCTAGGCTCACGGACTGGCATCACCGTTTATTGTACTCCACATCAGTTATATTAAAAAGCTGTGGGGTTTCCTCTCGTGCGGTTTGCCACGTGCCCTGCATGTCTGTCCAAGTGGGATAATTGTGATTTTTCAAGATATTTTCTCATTGTTTTCTTTCTAATGAGGGAAAACTGACCTTGATTTCTCCCCTCTTCAAAACACCCTAAAGGAAGCTAGCCAAGAAGCAGAAGGAGACTCAGACCAGCACACAGAGGGAGATGGGTCCCGTGGCTGCTTCAGACAAGACCTCTGCCAAACTCAGTGCTGTTCACAATGAAGAAGCTTTCTCTTCCAGCTGCCAAGATGTTAATGGATTCAGTAAGTTTAACTTGCTTGCAGTGGATATGTCCCCTTTGGAGAGCTCTAGGTTCTTGAAAGGACCTATTCCTATGGGCACAATGCTGAGGAGCTAGGAATGACAGTGTGAGGGTTCATTGTGAAAGCTCGCTAGAAATCAGTTGTCTGAAATTCTCTCGCACTGCCCCTACCTTAACTCTCAGATGGGTGGAAAGCATTCATTCTCACTCTAAATCTACCGAGATTAAAGTCTGTTTTAAAAACTACTTCAGACATTCAAAAAGACATGTGATCATTTGTTCTTCAGAAATACAGATATAGTTTTTCCTTTGTGAGTAGAAGAGTCGAATTACATTACTTAGCAGATTTCTAGGGTGGAAGTAATATTTTCTGTATGAAGTTGTTATGAAAGAAAGCATGGTCTCATGGTCAGAGAACTGAAATGGAAAGACAGCATTTCTTCTTTTGCCTGTGTTCTCACTTTATTTTTCACATCACTTCCATAAAAATAATTGTAGTTAATATTTGTAAAACATGCAGACCTCTGTAGCTGGAAGACTTCTGTGGGAAAAACAGCACAAAGTTATAATTTAGCCTTGCTAGATCCAGATTGAGTGCATGGTGGATTGCATGGTGGATTTGTAAACTTTTTGGTATTAAATAAATTTTAACTTAGACACTATGGGAATGTCACTCCTTCTTTTGACACTTAGCCTATAGTTTGAAGAGGGACCAGCTTTAAAACCAAAATATGTGCTAGAACTCTTCTGTCATTTTTAAGCATCTGTAGTGAAGCGTTTTTCCCCTAATTACTAACAAGGATTTGCCTATGATGAAAAAAGTTTTTTATAATTTAAACCTTGCTTTGCAATCTCAGATTGATTGGGACAGGCTGAGTGAATTTTTCTTTTCCCTCTGTAGGTCATGTCAAATTCCATCTGCATGCATTGCTACTGTCACTCTGTGTAATGTACCTGTGAGATGGATAAATAGGTGTTTGGGACCGTCAAGGCTAGCAGTGAACACTTCTCTCTGATATTAAATTGACTTGAGTCAAGATCTAATTTTCTCAGGTGCTGAGTAGCTATATCTTCTAAAGAAGACAGCACGAGTTGTCAGTGGCTCATATCTTTGAAAGACAGGATAGCAGAGGCCAGCATTGTAACAGGCAGCCTAGAAACAGCAGAGGTAGCTTGTTTGAAATGTATGGGGAAAACGAAGTTTTTCACACTTCCTTCAGATTTTGGCTTTTTGAAATGTTTTTTTTTCCACCAGAAAATAAGAGAAGAGTTGAGCCTATACTGTGACCTCATTTTTTTTCTTGGTATTTTGAGAGTCTAATTAAAACAGCTGAGTCACTTAGTTGAAATGGCAACTCTAGAAAAAAAATTATCTAATTTTGTGTAAAAAAAAAAAAAAGTGTACCTTCAGTTGTTTTCTTTTTTTTAAATTCAGAAAGTCCTTTGCTTGTCTGACATCATTGCAGATTTTATCACCACCTCCTTCTGTAACACAAGCCTGTAACACAGTCATGGGCTGATTCTTTTCTTTTTTTCTTCTTTATATCCATGAGAAATAATTACCAATAAGCTTTTATGATTTCTCCACATTTTTTTCCGCCAAGTCCAGGATGCCGAGGTGTTGGAGGTAAGTTCTCTTCGGTGCAGTAGCGTGCACATGCTGATACAGGAATTTCATGGGTTTGGCACTGATGATATAGATAGGAGGAAAAAAAAAAAAAAAGAGTAACAGCCTTTCTTTAAAAAAAAAAAAAATGCCTTAATGGAGTTTAATACCTGAGGGTTTCTATACAGGCCTACTGTAACTTTTGAATAACGTAATAGGATTACTTTGTAACCTTTCTGCTAACTAATAGAGTTTTACAAGGGGTTATTCATCTTAGCTTTTGAAATCAGCTCTCTCAAATTCCTTCTTAAATTTTCTTTTTCCTCACAACAGGAAATAGTGTTTGTGAATATCTCATGACAGGGAGTCGTCCTCTCCATCTTGACCTCGGCTATGAGAGTCCAAGTTTGCTGTAGCAGTAACATGAAAAGAAAACCCTTTGCTGTTAGTGAAAATGCGTATTCCTTCACCTACTCTATCTCAGTGCTTTAGAGGGAATGTCTTTTCTAAATTTTCAGTGTCAGCTCTTGCAAATAATGCCATCCATAAAGTCAGACTGAAATGGGGTCTGTAGAGGCCAGTGCACTGCAGCAGGAGCACACAGTCCTGTTGGCAATTTGCAGATCTGAATATTGTCACTTGACAGAGATGTCTGCTGTTGTTAAATGTAATTATGTCCTGGGAGATCTGGAGCATCTGGGCAGTCCCAAGCACAAACAGAGGCTGGGTGGAGAATGCATCGAGAGCAGCCCTGAGGAGGACCTTGGGCTGTGGGTTGATCAGAGAGCTGGAGCACCTCTGCTGTGAAGGCAGCCTGAGGGAGTGGGGTTGGGCAGCCTGGAGAGGAGAAGGCTCTGGGGAGGCCTGGTAGTGGCCTGCTAAAGGGGGCCTACACGAAAACAGCAGAAGGGCGTTTTACAAGGACATGTAGTGGCAGGACAAGGGGTAATGGTTTTAAACTGGAAGAGGGTAGATTTAGGTTAGATATAGGGAAGAAATTCTTTACTCTGAGGGTGGCGAGGCCCTGCCCAGGCTGCCCTGAGGAGCTGTGGGTGCCCCATCCCTGGGGGTGCCCAAGGCCAGGCTGGGGGGGGCTGGGGCCCTGCCCATGGCAGGGGGTGGCATTGGGTGCACTTTAAGGTCCTTTCCCACCCAAACCATTCTGTGAACTGTGCCGGAGCAGCGAGACATCAAGTCTTGCTGAAAAGTGTAACAGAAATAGGCCCTTGTCTTTTCTGGCCCAAAGGGAAGAAGCTCTTTATCCCTCTGTCTGTCCCACACTGACAGCCCTTATCCAGGCAGAATTCTTAGTGGTACCTGTAAGAGTTTTGACTGGAGAGATTTTATGGACTCAGCCTGTGTATCTGCCATGATACAGAATCAGAATAAGTATTTGCTGAAGGATAAATTAGTCCAGCATTATTCCAGCTCATCTAGTTTTACCAAAGGGTCATGTGAAGGTGAATTGTTCATTTTTCTCGAATACTGTGCTGCCTTTTTTTTTTTAATATAGATATATATCCTAAATCCATTACAAATAAGCGATGGTATTTGCAATATTTGAGACTGCTGCTCAGTTTGCAGGAGGGTTTGGAAAGCAGTGTCATTTTCCTTGGAGTGGCACAGCACAGTCACATGCAGGCACTGACTCAGTGCAGGGTTATTGTGAAACGAGGTGACAAATGGGAGACAAGGTGGACCTAAAATTATCCACCAGCATCTGTGTGCTGACCAGAAGGGTGTGCAAGGGGTTGTTATTGCACATAAATTCTGTGCAATTTGGCAGCCCATCTGTGTGATGGGAGAAGCAGCAGTATATCATCTCAGCAACGATGTGCTAATGTGTCCTGCACAGAGGAACTGCTCTTCCAGCTTTGCAATGATAAAATGCCATGGGTAGGGCTGCAGATAACAGAGATCAGGCAGATCCTCTCTAGGGAGAGTGCTACATCACCAGCATCACCAGCTTGACATCCTTGGGAGCTTGGTGTCAGGAACTATTTGATTCTGAGGATTTGATCTCTTAAAATGCATCCAGTTTTGCTAGAGACTGGTTACAGGGGTATGTTTAACTTTTGTGACATCTCAGTTTGGGAGAAGACTGCTTTCCAAATAATCTAAAGGAGTGACTTCGATACAGATTGTTAGATAGGTAGCCTTAACATTACTGTCAGGGGCATAGTGTGAAGACAGCATTTAGGAAGCTGTAGGGAACTGAGATCTGCATTAGGGAGCACTATTATATACTTACCAAGTCACTGTGCTCTTACTAGCAAAAACAAGAGGAAGACGTAGGTGAGTGGCACTCAGCTTTTTAATTATCATATTTAACCAAGAACCATCTAAATTCACACCTCTCCATATCCCACATCCTTTTGCAGTGAATCAAATGCAAAGGCCTTAAAGATTTGCTCTAAGTCAAAACAGTTGCATCAAGATCTATTTGTTGTTACTCCATAGATAATTTTTTCATTATCTGGTAGGAGGCCTGCTAAATGCAGTCCAAGGACCTGTAGTATCATGACCATGAGACATTTTCTTTAGGCAAAAAAATCTAAATAGTAATAAAGCCAAATTTCATCATTTAAAATTTTAAAATAATAGTAAAAAAAAAAAAAGCAAAATCCCTTTTGTGGCTTTTTGTGACAGTTTGGAATGTTTGCAGGGTTGGTTTCTTTACAAACTCTTTAAAAAAAAAAGGTAGGGAGAATCATTTCCAGAATAGGGAGGAGCTTCCACCATTCTACATGACTAGAGGGAGCTGTATGGGCTCCTATGCCATTCCAGATTGTGTAGAGGGAATTTTAAATGAAGTCTTAATATCTACCCTGACGTGAAATCATGTCTGGAAGTGCATGCGCTAGTTCTGGTGGGAATGTCTGGTGCGGTGGTGGCCCAGGGTGTGCATCTTGTTACACAAGCCACTACTGATTTTGAAAATGAGCTCTTTGGAAGTCTAAATTTGCCTCTCTGTCTCACAGGTATTGCTCATTTCAGAAACCTCAATTGGTAACAATTTAAATCAAATTCACTGGAGTGAGGCATCTACCTTCAGATTCCCAAGTAATTTGTAATTAGCAATTCCTGGAAAAGCAGGGTTGGCCCCATAAGTTCTTTTTTCTCCCAAACTCCAGAAAATTCCAATACTGCTCCGAGTCCTGACTGTTGTCTTGCTCTGTGACCCAGGGCAACCAAATTACTCTTCATAGGCCTTATCTGCACATCTGCAAAGTGGCCATGTTCCAAGTACGGGAGAGGAGAGGGTCTTATTTAGACTAACAAACACGGAAGAAAGTGAAAGAGGTTCCAAATGAGAGATGTGTTATGGACTGAAGGCAGACTAAGCTATGAGAAATTTGATTATCTTAATGTGTTTTCAAATGGTTTAAGCTTGAAAATATAGCAGGAGAATGCAAAACCAGAGCAAGTTCATTTACTAGATGATTACAAAGTGCTTAGGAGGTAATTCTGCAGACTTTATGAAACTTCCTAGAGTAGTGACTCCTTTCATTCACTTCATAGAAGGACTTGAAATTTTTAAGAGGTGTTTTTTTTTATTTTATTTTCTAGAGAGAAAAAAAAAAAGCTTCTGAAATTACTTCGATATGTATACTGAGTTTTATCTACTTATTTTGGATTATGGAATAGTTTTTCCTCTGTTATCTGTTGTCATCTTTCTGATGTACTGAGATTTGTACTAGCTTGTTTCCCAACATTTTGAGGAGATAAATGTAAGTTTAGGAATAAAAGCAGAATGATAATAGAAGAATATGCATTCAGAAATGATTGATTACCACAAGAATGTATGTGTATGCTATTGCAGATATAAAATAACCTCATAAATTTACTAGCAAGAAAGGAATCTACTGTGAAGATGTGGAGCCCTGCCTCTGTTCCATAAATAGTTGATTAATATGGGAATAATTTGTGGATTTTTGTCCAGAGAAAGCTAATGCTTTAATGGGAGAAAGTTGGTCTTGCTAAAAGAACCTGTCTCTCAGAGTAAAATATTATAGGATTTGCTATGAAGTGTTCTGGGTTGAAGAACAATTCCCTTGTTATCTTATATGGTTTTAACAAAGAATTTGCTACCCTACCTGTGTATTTTTGCGGTACTAGTGTACATTGTGTTTGAGCAGGCTTATTTTACTGTTATTAATGCATTTGATTCTCTGTAGTTTGTATTTTGGGTGTTCTTTTTAAGGATCTTTCTCCTAGATGTTCCTTTGGTTTAAAAAAAAAAAAAAGAAAAGAAAAGAAAAGGTGTATATAGGATATAGTCCTATACATGTATCCTGTGTAGGAACACATTGATTTACAATAACTATAATATTATATTTGGGGTCTGGAGTGCTTATATTAAAGAAAATCCATCATTATGACATTGTAATAAATGTAATATGCATGTTGAGATGAAAAATATAATTCATTTTGATAAGTGTTTTATATCCCATATTACTGTGTTCTTTGAGGAACATTCTCCCTGTTCTTTCTCTCTCTTAATATATGTCTAAAGTCTTTTCCTTATGTCTTTCCTACCTAGCATCACCCTCTCCTTGTTCATTTTCTGTCCAAAGCAAAACCCTTCAGAGCAAATCTTTGTTGAATTCCTACTACTCAGGTACTAGTGCCAGACTTTTTTTTCATTTCTAAATTTTCTTTGCTTTTGTACATTTCCCAATATGACCTATAGACTGAATCTTCAGAGTGTTAGATACGGCTAACCTTGTTTTCATTTTTTTGTAATTTTTTTTTCCTATTGATCTTCTGTTGATTTTCAATGATCCGTGTCGTGTGGGTGAACGGAATTCCATCTCAAAGTATCATCAGACACTGTTCCATCGACCACGCTGTTAGGTAAGAAGCCAGGTATGGTGTACTGCACTTCATTGGAGAGAAAACACTCATTGCATCTTGATAATTTAGAGAATGCTACAGAGTGGCTGGGCTCCAAAATCATAATTAATGCTGCAGTCATGTGTTCTGTTAATTGGGAAGCCTTTTGTTTCACTTGTGCTTTCTTGTTGTTATGAATTGATTTTTATTTCATCTTTTAAAGGAAAAAACAGTTCAAAGTATAAGAGTTTCTTTGGAGAAATCAGAGGCTGAGTTTGGGCAAGTGGCCCCACCTTATTCTGCTTATGCTTAGAATTAAATTTTAAATGTTCAAGCAGTCTGGTATAGATTTGAGAGGATAATAAAAGGCAGGTTCTGAAAGGTGGAGGCTGTGCTGTGGCTGCTGGTAACTTTAGAGGAAGATGTTAGCGTTCAACATCTCTGAAAATTATCTCTTCTTGTCCAGGAGATAAATAAAGCATAGAGCATGGAGCTCTTAGCTTTGGGATTTTTAGAAATAAAATGTTTTTACATTAAGTTAACAGAGAGAGCAAAATTGGCAGAAACTGTAAGCTGATAAAAGAAGTTATTCAGAAACTTATTGGAGGTGTACCCTTGAAAGTGAGTAATAACAACCTACAACTTCAGGCTCTCCCTGGAGGATGCTGCCTGTGTGTGGAATTTGAAGAAGGCAATTCCTCTGCTATGAATCAGAAAGATGATGTGTAGTTGATCAGAATCTAACCAGTGGTATTTATCAGACCTGTCATTTTGGATTATCTACAGTAAATGTTCACTTCCAGACACAGTAATCTACCGTGTCTGCTTTAAACATTACTCTGAGCACACTGAAGGCCCATAGTTAGACCAGGAAGGAATTACAACCAAGCACTTAAGTGCCTTGGTTTGCAGACTAACAGCCAGGGCAGAGAGGCTCAGAGGGTCTGCACGATACGTGCATTTATCCTGTTGTATATCAACGTGCCCGATGGCAATGAGTGAGCCCTCTTTTGAAGCAGTAGAGAAAAAGAGCCTTCTTTTCTAGAAGGTTTGTTCTTGTTCCCTAGAGACTCAGTGCTGTCAACAGAGAAGTCTAAGGGCAGATTAATCTTTTGGCTATACTTTCGAAGCAGGGCCCAGACCTGCAGTTTGCTGGAAGATGTCAAACTGCTCTCATCCCAGCACTCAGCATCTGTGAAAATGGGGACCCTCCTGTGAGGGAGATGTTTTCACCCCTATGCCCTGATAGTGAACCAAATGGCTCAAGGAGTGAGACAGATTCAACTATGCCTCTTACAGGGGGGAAAATAAAAATCCCAAAGCTTTCAAACCCCAGAATTTTAGGGGAGGTGGGGGGGTGGGGAATAAGAATTAAAGTAGTCTTATGCTTATGTATTCAAAACTCTTTCAAACTTATCATCTTCTAACCACTACCTCTGAGCTGAGCAAGGATTAATATCCCTGTTTTTACACACGGGAAGTTAAGCAGAGTGCATTTCCAAGACATGATTTACACAGACTGGTCACCCCCTCAGTCAGTTGCATCTGACTGTAAAAGCCAAAGGTGCTGTGAAACAGCCCATAGCACTGAAGAAATTTCTATCCTATGACTTGAAGGCAAGTGAAAACTATGACATTCTGGCTTCTCAGACAGATTCACCAGACATTGGGTGATGCTGTATGAGAAAAATAAGTTTAATTTTTTGACGTTTATTAATATTCATTCCTGGGAAAGCAAAAGATTTAAAAAGGGCATCAGTCATCCCACCACCAATATCTGTCTTTGGGCATTACCTGCAGTTCAGTGCTATTTGTTCCATCTGTTATGCCTTCTGCTAATAAATGTTCTGTATCTGCAATAGTAGATGACTCCCTAGGCTTGGCTGTGACATGATTTGTTGATAATAAGATACGGAGGATTTATTTATTTATTTTGCCTCTACCCTATCTTGTGCTTGATTAATACTTTTTTACGTAATGCATGTTTTTAGCTCTGTAATTTTACCTTATAGTTGTAGACATCTCTGGATTTAATGGTTTTCACAAGTATCTTTGCTAGGGAAGTGAATATTTAATACTAAAAAGTGAAGGAGTTAATTTCCCTGGTTTTAATATTTCAGTAAGGCCCATGTTGTACCACTAATGTAAAGTCTGAAAGGGAGATAATACCACAGTGGAGGCTGTTTTGGGAGAAAACGTGCATGGCCAGTGGCTCTCAGAGATATTCAGCATATGTCGTCAGGGCAGGTTCTTCAGGGGAGCCAGCGTGCCTTTCCCTTTATGGTGCTTTTACTCAGGTGGGCAGCTGAGATCCACCACAACCAGTCCCTCACTCCCCCTCCTCAAAGGGAAAGGGGGAGAAAATGCGATGAAAAGGGCCCAAAGGTTGAGATAAGGATGGGGAGATCACTCAACAAGTATCATCATGGGCAAAACAGACTCAGCACAGGGAGATTAAAGAAATTTATTGTTACTGGTCCATCCCCCAGGGGCAAACTGCTCCAGTATAAGTCCCCCACGGGTGGCAGCTCCCCACAGACCCCTGCTCCTGCGTGGGCTCCTCTCCATGGGCTGCAGCGTGGAGATCTGCTCCATGGGAGACCCATGGGCTGCAGGGGGGCAACCTGCTTCACCACAGTTTGCTGGGGAACTTCAGCACCTGGAGCACCTCCTGCCCTCCTTCTTCAGTGACCTTGGTGTCTGTAAGCCTGTTTCTCACTCCTCACTCTCCCAGCTGCTATTGAACAGCAGGTTTTTTCCTCCCTTTCTTAAGTCTGCTCTCACAGAGGCATAAAACAACGTTGCTTATTGGCTTGGCTCTGGGCAGCTGTGGGTTCCTTTGGAGCCGGCTGAAACTGGCCCTTATCTAACATGGGGCAGCTGCTGGGTTCTTCTCACAGAGGCCACTGCTGCAGTCCCCAGCTACCAAAACCTTGCCACATAAACCCACTACACCCTTGTGTCATTTTCATTTCACTTAATCAAGAATATCCTGATAATAAGAGTCCCTGCCCTGAGGAGAGGATGGACTGCGATGCCTCGTAGTTCCTTGCAGATGGGTGAAAGCAGAGAAAGGTCGCTGTTGTGACATCTAGCACAAAATCTGGCTTGCGTTTAGAAAGACAAAAATTTGCTCTGATGTTCACTGTTCTGTAGCATGGGTGGGCTTTTGCCCATGCCCACTCATTCTGCTCTGGATTTATCCACAACCTAATGTTTCAAGAACTAAAAAGATATAAAGAAGCTGATATTGGTTCATTAGCAGGTCTCACATTACTGACATAAATTGCAAGATGAGTGATTTTTACATATTGAAAACTTGAAAACGAGTGGCTTGATCTGTTCAATTGTATCTGTAGCCTTCTGGTCCATGTCAGTCCGTAAGGGGCTGTGGAAGAAGCTTTCACGTCCAGTCACTGTGCTAATGTTGATGTGCAGTGGAAGAGCATGCCACTGAGGGCTGTTGCTTGAGCTGAGTTTCCCTTAGGTTTCTTTCCATCTGCATATGATCCTGTGGCTTGGAAAATTCCTCTTTAGTGGCTTCTGTTTTTCGGTGCTGTTTTGAAGTTGCCAGTAGCTTTTCAGCTACTGTATTGCTCTGTAAGGTAGGCAGATCTGACAGCATCTTTTCACCTGTGAGTCAGGTTTGCTTTGTTGAGGTCCCACAAATCTGAACAGCTGCACAGTTGTACAGGTACCCAGTAGTCCCCAGTTTTAGCCCATGTCACCAAAGCATCTTCCTCACATCTAAAAACAATGTGTTTTTTTTTCTATACTAAAGAAAAAAAAATCAATAATTTTTATAAGATTAGAATATACTTTTGCTAGTATTTATCAAGTGATTCTCTGAAATCTAGAGAAAATTATTTTCTCCAGCCATGTGGCTTCTTCATAACCTGTGAAATGAATGATTTGTTCTGTCAAGAAGGCTTTTGGTTAAGGAACTTGCCTTTTCTAGCTCAGTTGATCTCATAAGACAGATGATGTTTTGACTTTGGTTTGCATGTGGTATATTATAGCTGGATATTTATCATATAATAAAGCACTCAAAAAGCAAATTAGTTTACCAGATAGCTCCATATCCCTAGTGGTAGGGGAAGAGAGATTAGTTGTCCTGTAGTCGTACTTGGAAGATGTCAAGTAATCAACAGCCATTGCTCTAGTAGAGAGAGATTGGATATGTGTAATTAAATCCATCACAAACACCGCTCAAAATATAATTTATTTTGTGCAAAGGATGTCTTACTGTGTTACACACTTACCAAGGCTAAGAGAATAAGCAATACGCCTGTCATTTCAGTAACAAGTGGAAATTGGGGATATTAAAGTAAAAGTTTTGAAAGAAACTTCCCTACTTCCCTACTGAAGATTACACATCAGCACAGCATTGCTTTCAGTTGTTTGAGGCATTAGGTTAGTTTTCTAATCTGAGGGCAACGCCATAATATGTGTCTAGGTATCTCTTAGGGTACCAAAACCAGGTTTATGAAAGGAGAATGCCTGTAAAAGGATCCAGAGCTTCAGCCCCAGAGGTGACTCCCAACAGCCTTACTGGGTCTGGCTGTACGCAGCCACTTGCAGGCTGTGACTCTGAATTTCTCAGCTGCTCTTCACTTTATTGCTGACATCTACAGAAAAATGTATCATTTTTTGCCATGGAGGGAGATATTTATTTTAGTTGTCTGGGCAGCAACGAAAGTATATAATAGAAGGTGGTGTAGTAGCAGGCAGGCAATAATATCTCACCCTCAGGGCTCCTTGCCAAATGGGGGAAGATGCCACCTTGCCGGCCTCTGCTGGGGCTTTTCTCAGCACACAGCACTCCTTTGTGTTTCTCTTGGCAGAGCAGAACCTCACGGGTGACTTCAGCAAGTTTATGGTTATTTCTCCAGCAAAGGAGAGAGTCACAGAAGTACCATTTCTTGTAAGCAAGGAGAGCTTGTGAATATTAAAAGTGTAGTCAGTGTTGTTAAATTTGATTATCTGCAGTTACACCTCTAACAGATAAGTTGAGATGCCTGAAGAGTTTCACCATCAGGAAGTTATATGGGAGCCAGTGAATTGTTGATTTAATGTCTTTTGCAAAATTTCAGGGTGTTCTGTGAACTAATAGGCTGGTAATGAAAGTGTCAGCTTCAAGAAAACAAAATATCTGCATTGGCAACGGGCATCTTAGTGTGGGGATAAAGCATGTTGCACTAAGAAGGGTTAACAAACAAGCTAACAAAATATTTTCCTGTTGCAGCTGCTAATATTAGAAAAAAAGCCTATTACAAACAGTGTGTTTCCAGCAACATGCAGAATAAACTGCTTTGTTTACATCTGCACAAAAAGAACTTGGCAAAATCAGAGATGGGTCTGGGAAGGAACTGGAGCCCTGAACGCTCTGCCCTAATGAGACTTCAGAAGCTCTCAATCAAATTACTTTATCAAAGAGAAACCGGAGAAGTGATTTGATCAGTGCCTACATAGGTCAAGTTTTCAAATACTCAGAGGGCTCTTTAATCTAACAAGAGGTATAATAAGATTCAGTGTCTGGAAACTGAAGCTAAATAAAATCAAATTGCAATTAAGAAATGTTTAGGCAACAGGGGTAATTAACCATTGCCACAACTTTTAGGGTCAGGATGGAATCACCATCTCTTGCAATCTTTGGGTTTGGATTATTTCTCGATGCTGTAGCCCATCTTCGGTGTGCAGTCAGGTGTGGTGGTTTGTGTTCCTATCAACAGAATGAGGAGGTATTGCTAGAAATAAGATGGGCACATGAAATATAATCCAAAAAAACCTGATGCATGACTCTGTGTTTACTAGTTTATGAGTATTTCAATTTCAGTTAATTATTTCAAGCATCTTTTCAAAAAAAAAAAAAACTTTTTTCTTGATTTGTTTTTCTCATTGAAAACTCACTAAAGGCACAAGCGCTCTGGAGTCACCAGCAGAACTTCAGCAGAAGGGCAGTAGGTCTTACAACCTCTTCCCTGTTGGCAGAAGATTAGGGTGGATGTGGGAAGGGGACAGACTGGAGGGACTCTGGAAGAGTGCTGTGACTTCCCGTCAGTGCAACAACTACAGCAGAATCTGAGGGGTTGAGGGGCTGGTGTTTTTGTTGGCTTTTCCAGCAGTAGCAGTGCCAGAAGGCACGAGATGCCTTTTATTGCTGCAGCCTGCAGGAAAGGCATAGCCTGGTTGTAAGCATTTGAAGACTCCCGGTTGATTGTCCTGGTGAGAGATGGGTTTGCTGCTACCTCCCCTCCTGCCCTGCGTTTTGAATTGTTCACAAATTGCTGTAAACAGCACATCTTGAGAGAAGGTGTAGGGCCTTGCTTGAGCGCCTCATTAACCATGCTTAGGTTCAGACTCGTGGTGTGATTAGACCGGGAAGGAACAATATGTTTCTTGCATCAGGCTTTATTAGCAGAACATATGAACACCAGACTTGCTTCATACATTGTAATTTATCTCCATAAAAGCCCCTCCAATATTTTCCTTGTCTAGATAAGATGCTCATGGAAAGAACCAACAGCCCTCCTGAGTTGGTGCAAATTTCTGTGCCGATTTTCTGTGGTTTTCTTTTGGGTCGTATAGTGCACAGAGGGCATTCAAGATGCTTTTGTTACAGAAATCCATCAGAGGTGATGTTCCCAGTGTCAGCTCCGTGTGCTCTAGGCTTGAGAGCAGGACGACCCAGATTGCGACTTGGGTTTGTCTTAGGAGAAACACTTGGCTGGGTGAAAGGTGATGCTGCAGACCACACCACAAGACCTGTTACGACAATCAGTGGATTTTGTAATATTTCTGTCTGACCCAAGAGACCAGAATCACAGTTGTTGCTGTAAACTTAGAGGCCAGAGTCAGACCCTTCTTTGCTGCTGGGCATCTTCTACTTCCAGATTCAGAACATGGGTGCCTAGTTTAAGGAAGTTATTCTGGAAAGGGGGCTGCTTTTCTGGCTTTCACCTCTTCCAAGGATACTGTTGGGAGAAAAGAGCCAAATATACAAGAATTAAAGGATCTGAAGAAGGCAAATGAATAATATCCCATGAAGGAGCTGACTGATCTGAGCTCCATTTCACAAGTAGCCTGTGCTCTGCGTGTGCCCTGACTGTATTAGCACTAGAACCGCACATTAGTTTTAAGACTCCCTCTCGAGTAGGGATATTGTAATGTTTTTTAATTGGGGCTGATAAAAATGTGGCATTACATGTAGGTTCTTCAGAGAAGCCAGTTGTGAAATTGGGTTTGTATTAAACCTAATGATGGAAAATTAAGCATAGTACGTCTGTCGGAAATGGTCCGCAGTAAAAATCTTTTCCTCTCCATTACAGAAGGTTAATAGGGAATAGGGGAGGAAAGATGCACGGGGAAAGCGAATCCAACTAGGGGAATTAATAAGCCTTGAAATTCCCTCTGTTCAGAGTTCTCACACTGTCATTAGTTGGAGCATTAGGGATGATTATACAAATGCTTTGGATGTTACTCTTCCTTAAATCCCAAATTTATTCACATTTTGTATGTGAGGGTTGCTTCGCTAGAACCATAGCTCTATAAATCTTGGAGCGTCCAAGGAATGTGACTATGTTTATGAGAAACTGAGCTTCCGAAATCCTTAAATCCAGTAGCCTGATCTTCAGAGCAGGTGGTCAATTTGATGGCAATTTGTTTCAGAAGAAGCAGGATATGTTCAGCATCCCTGATCATTCAACCACCAGTCTCGTTTATCTCACAGCTTGCCCTGTGGCCGTGTGTCCACTGCTGTCATTCCTTTCTCCTTCTCGTAGTCCTATAACTTCAAAACAGAGCATATGCCTGTCTTGGTATCTTCCCTCCAATATAACAGTAAGCCAGCTAAAGCATTATTTGTCATGTTTTGTCATGTCATTGTTTTGCCATCTGCTGAAAAGGCGCTCTAATGCCCTAATCTATCTGCTCCTGCCCAATTTTGCAATGAGGGACAGAGCAGAGATCCTGACTGCTTGTGATCGAATCTTCATGGTGATTTCTCAAGGATAGTAATGTTTACAATAGCACACTGGCCATATTTTTGTCTCTAAAAATCACCCTGAAATTGCAACTTGATTTATTCATTCTTTATCCCTTCTAAAGCATGACTGTAGTATTGCTGACAAGGGATAGTGTTCAGGCTCCTTTTCAGTAAGCTTTCTGTACGAAATGAGCCTTGTGTATGTGATTGTCAGCTTTTTTTTTTTTTTTTTTTTTTTTTTTTTAGCGGTTAGAGGAAGATATATTTTCTCTTTGCTAACAGGCTGGCTTTGGCTGAGACCTGAAAGAACTGATGCAGGATGTTAAGGCCAAAGAACCCAAGTGCATCAGGAAGCACTTCTGTGCTGCGTGGGTAACAGAGCACTGGCAGAGGTTGCCCTGAGAAGTTGTGGGGTCTCCTCCTTGGAGATCTTCACAAGCTGCTTGGGCTGGGCCCTGGACACCCCTCTACAGGTGTCCCTGCTTGGGCGGGGGGGTGGACCAGATGAACCCCAGAGGTCCCTTCCAACCTCAACTGTCTATGGTTCTATGATCTTTAGATACCTGTAATCATAGGGGAAAAAAAACAACAGTTTATTTGGCCAACTATAAATCTGGTCAATTCTAGTAGATAAAAACTTAAATTTTTCAGCTACTCTCAGTTTCTTTTGTTAAAAATAAATATTTTGGTAGTCAATTGTTTGGCTATTCACATTATTTGCTGTTAGTTCAACAGGAGGATTTTGCTATGTATTTGCAGTTTTGCAGGGAGTATAAGAGGTTACAATTCCATCTATGTAGTGATAGAGATTTCTAAAATATTTATATCAAAAAGGAATGCTTTATGTTTTTATACATCTGAATTTTAAGATTGTGCATGCAAGGAAACTATTTTTGTGTTCTTTTATTCTTTCTCATAACATCACATCTTTGCAATTGGCATAAATTTTAGAGTTGAATTTGCAGAGCAGTTTAATTTGCTTCTAACATCCTTTGTGGTTTATTTGAAATGCTAATAATTTGTTTGCTATTAACTTGGACCCCTTTCACTTATCTCATATTGTACACCTCAAATCTTGCTTGAATATCTTGCTCATCTGTATGTATCTTTTGGTCCTGTTCTTTGCAGGTCTGTGAAGAAAGGTATGTAACTTGAGTGGAGTCGTTACGCAGCACTCACAAACTCACTGTTTCACTATACATGCTATATACTCGTTGTGCCTGACAAGCTGTTTATTCCCTTCCCATCTCTGAGTTTGTCTCCTTGACTTAAAAAATATTTGAATGTGAGTTAGTGTTTCTGGGCAGCTGTAGGCAAGTGTGTGTTTCTTACTTATTTCTTTACTTTCTTTTGCCTGCACCAACCTATGGGGTGGTGGAGAAACAAAGAAGTGGAGAAGGAACGAGAGTGGAACTCACAGATAGGTGAAAGCTTGTTTTGCCTCCCTGTCTTTAAAACAGACAGTAGCCATGGAGAGATGACCCAGCCAACCCTGACTATCCAGACCCACCCGTACCGGAGCTGCGAGCCGGTGGAAATGTCCTACCCCCGGGGGCAGTTCCAGCCAGCCATCCGAGTGGCCGACTTGCTGCAGCACATCACCCAGATGAAGCGAGGACAGGGCTATGGATTTAAAGAGGAGTATGAGGTGAGAGGAACCTTCACTCACGTGAATAAGTAGAGGAGTGGCAGTCCTAAGGGACAGATGCTTGGGAGGGGAGGATGACCATTGTGAAAAGCGTCTTTGCCTTAATTCACTCACCCTCTTAATCCTTTCCTTCCTCCATCTTATTTCTGTTTATAAGGCTAGGATTTTACAGCACTAGCAATCTTTGGTGGCTCTCTGGTCCAGAGGAAATGTGTTTAATACAGTGGTAAGAGAATTACATTGTGTTCGTGTGCACCCTCTCCAATAAAGAGTGGATAGTAAATATTTAATAGTTGCTGAACTCCATGAAGGATTTGGAGTCCCATAGTCCTTAATTTATTGGTGTGCTTTAGTTGACGATAGGGCAAAGCAGGGTTTATGAAAAGGAAGGGTTTTTGCTTTTTTTTTGGAGCCCCAAATACTCTGTAGCAATTGATCAAGTTAATTCACAGCTTAATGACCTGCACACAGAACTGTAAAGGCAAAGGCAGCAGCCTTGTGTAGCTTAAATGAAGATGGAGTTTTCCAGTACGCTCAAACCTCTGGCTCAGAATATGTTCAGCAGACCTACTCTTGCAACTCTGTGTGAAGAGAGGGGCAAGGAGTAAGCTGAAAATATGAAAGCAGCCCTTCCACCCTGTGGTCAAATAGCCGGAGTGACCAGGAATTTAATCCAAATGCCAGGAAGAAGTGTGGCACTGGGGAGGAGTTGGGAGACAAATATACATTTAGAGGAGAGAGAACAGAAGAGGGAAATAGCATCAAACATATGTGAGACTTTGCTGTAGCAAGCGATAATTATAATGAATGTAGTAAGCTTGTGGGAAGGCAATAAGTAATTAATATGCATAGTGGCATTAAAACTACTTAAAAATAACATAACAGCTGTGAAAAATAAGTTACTTAATGAAAACAGCTCACTTTTCCACCCTGCAAGTCGGAGTCCATGGGGTTTATATCATTGATGCTGGGGTTTGCTGTAATTGAGAGGCAATCTTTTTCTGGTTGTCACCAGGGAGTATTTTTTTAATCAGACAGCATCAAAGACTGTCACAACAAATGTTCCTGGTAACTGTATGTTAACCAGGGCTAGTCACTCATGCCCCACAATCAGGGACACTAATTAAAGTATCGATACAAAGAGCTTGGTTTAATATGGAAAAAGGGTATTAATTCTCTAAGGAGATTTACTTAGCCCCCCTTGGCCTCCAGTTCCATGAGTAGTACCCAAAGCTGAATTCAGCTCAATTACAGATGCCCTAAGATCTAGTTCTTGATGTTCAAGAAGAAAACAGGTGCTGGCATATATGTAATTTTCTGGCACTGGCATTGGTAATTATCAAAATAACACATTAGCATGAAAAATGTCAATGCAACTTTCAGCTCCACAAGTTCTGCGTTTCCCAGAAAGTGCTATCTACATACGTATATAATGATGATGACATTATATACATTTGCATAATTTCTTTCTTTACAAGAAATAGCCTGGAGAATGCCACAAGCTCTTAAATCACTTTTGCTGTTCTACCCTTCAATCAGAGACAATTGCCCTAAGTGGCAGTCCTTTTAGATGGTGGAATTTGGATTTCAGAGCATGGGCTGCAGGTAGCACTTTGGCTCCAAGCAGCTTTCAGCCACCACCAGCAATACTGCAAATTGCAGGGAGGATGTTGAGGAGTGTTGTAAATCCTGGAAGGTAGGAAGGGTGGTTTTAAGTTGGCTGAAATCTTGAGGAACGCAAAGCTGGAAAGCCTGTTTTGCAAAACAGTTTGCAAAATGGTTGATAAAAGCTTAAAAAGAAAAGACCTGAAATTTTATTTTTGTGTCTCTTAAAATCTGTTTTCATACACTAATATTAGTGTCATCTGTCTGTATGTTTTTTCTTCTAAGACGCTGATTTTCTGTTTACTTTGCAGATTGATAGCATAAATGAGAGCCTACTTAGTGACATGTTAGCAAACAATTTTACTCTCATGAAAAATCACTTTGAACAGAATGTATCAGTCATACATGACAATCTCTTATCTCTGTACATTCCCATTTCCACTGAGAAACCAGGGAATTGCATTCAAGATTTGTTTTGTACCCCCTTCAGCTGCAGAGCACTAGAGCACAGGTAATGTGTTTTACTGGGGGCATCTTGGAAAATTTTTCGTGTGCCTGCATCTTACATCTAACTCCACACCAGGATGTGGTTGCGTAAGTGGTGTCACTGCTTCTGTGAACGGGCTGATAACTGTGTGTGTGAACACGGGAACCTGTCAGCACTTGCAGCATGTGCATTATTTGGGGTCTGCCTGCTGCACCTGAGGCCAGAGTGACTGCTATTTGTTTTAGCAATAAAATGTGTGCACCCCAAGAGAAAAATACATCACTGACACTGGATGTAGATGGCACTGTTTGGGATTAGGCACGGCTATAAACATTTACACGGGACTTGTTTAACTGTCACCTGTTCCTTTTTCAGAACATATCAGCCCTGATTTGTTGTGAGCTGCTAGGCTGGTCCCATAGCCATACTGCGAGCACCAATTACTGGCTGCAGAGATAATAAGCTTAAGTATCCAAACTCATTTTCAAATATGATTTAGTATGTCACTAACGTACATTTCTCTTGCTGCATTACCGAGACTGTTAGTTATTTTGGATTTTGTGGCTCCTTCCTCAGGCATCTTGCTACTGCCAGGCTTCAGTGCATTGAAGTCACCTCTGGATTTTAACCCGCTCATTTCTGGCTGGCTACACAGCCTTTATCTGGTCAAAAGAGTAGGTCCGGGAGCTCAGGCTATGGTATGATATTACAAAGCGTTTGGCAGTAGGGTTGTCACTATATATGCTGTCCTTGGATTGTGTTGACTTAATGCTTTTTATGTCCTTGCTCTGTACCAGACTGGGGAGCTGAACTGGCTGAAATATTTCTCTTCAGGGCTTTTTGGGGTATTTTTTTTTTTTCTCTTTTTTAGCCAAAGCAGTTTCTCATCCTGGGTCACAGCAGAGTCATTGGAAGAGTTTTGCCACCAGTGTCGAGAAGCTGGAGGCTGCAGGAAGATGCTCAGGACTTTGTGGCGAGCTGTGAGATGAGCAGCAAGGCTTTTAATTGATATTGTTGCCTTTGGCAAGAATACAGCAGCATTGGGGCGCATCAGAGCAAATGAATGATTCAGGTTTTCCTACTTAAATGAAAAACAAACTGCAAATTAGCTAAATGCATCCATTGGAAATGTATATTGGCTTGCACTAAGTCTCAATTGAATGTGAACTCTTCGGTTATGTTTGGGCCATGGTGCTTGGAAATTTTAATCAAGATAAAGAGACTTGTAGAGATATGGCCCTGCAATTTCAGATAAAAATTAGATCATTTTAGTTTTAAAAGCTTCATTATAGGATAAATTCCACTACTGGGATGATATTTCAGCATGAATTTTTCCAAACTTCTCTAGAAGAAGAAAAGAAAGAAAAGCTTAAAAATTAAATTCAGATTTTTAACACCAGAATTTTACAGCTAACAAATTGAACAAAGAAGCATTTGGAGTGTTTCTTGTAGAAGCATCACACGTGGGTCAAATACTGATAGCCAAGAAATCTATCTGTCCTGGTTTGCTATTAACAATACTGCAGAAAGAAACAGAAATATTCCTTTTTGAGATCATGGAAATAAGTATTGTACAAACCTAAACTCAAGAAAAAAAAAAAAAACATTAGGAATGCTTCTCTTTTTCTGGGTGCAACTTATATTAATTATAATTGATACTTTTGCCTTTGTATTTCTAATGCAGTTTCAATTCTCAGTTTTTAGTGGTATCACAACAAAATTGCCAATGCTGTAACCACCTGGCTATGTGCAGTTACTCCGATCTGTTTTATAGAAGCAGGGGTATGGGTGCACTCTGCAAAGGCAGTTCGTGTTCCTCACCAGCCAGATCCCCCCCTTTCATTTCTTCAGGGAAGGGTAGTTTCATAAAACGCAGAGAATTCTCTGGTTTCGAGTGAGATGAAAAATCCCATGTTCTGAAATCTTTGGAGACTATCTCAGGCAAATATAAAAACATGAATTTCAATGGAGACTTTCATGTTCAAATCACCTGAAAGGACAAGGTTAGCTTAGAAGGGATTTATTGGACCTAAACATATTTTATTTGGCCAAGACAGCCTACTTCCCCGTGGATGTGATGAGGGAGAAATTTACTTATTTATTTTCCCTTTTCAGATGGCTGTGATTACGTATTTAATGACTGTTGCCATTCTCTGGTCAATCTGCTGTGATTTGATATTAGTAGAAAAATAAGGCACCTTTTTCCTTAGTCTTTGAAGATGAAAATGAACCTTCCTCACCTCTTTTCTTTTACTCAGGGATTTATTATTTTTTTTTTTGTCATTGTGTGTAGGTTTTTGTGGGTTTTGTTTTGCTTTTTGTTTGGGTTTGTTGTTTTTTTGTGCTCAGGAGATGAGCTGCTATTTGGAAACAGCTGTCTGTAAAGGAAATATATGTGTGATCAAAGCCCTCACCAATTACAGTTATTACTCTTTCTCCTGGGCTTTTGAATAGGAACTCGCTGTCCCTGTCTTTTGTCAGCAAGGCTCGTGGCAGTGCTGCACTGCCTGACATTTTCTGTCCTGGAACCCCTTTGGGGGAAATTCACAACGATCTGGTCTGCCAGGGGGTTGCTCATATTAAGTTTAATTGCAATGCCGGTGTTGTAGATCCTAATAATTGTGTCTCTCTGCTATTGCATTCAGGCACCATAATAGACCTGGATCGCTTGTGAAGATGAATATAAATTCATTTTCCAGTACAGCTGTGTCAAACTACCTGCTGCTAGCTAAGGCAGATATGATTCCCCAATGAGAGCAGTATAAAAACTCCGCAATTCCCCGGGGACCATAAATAATGCAATTTGTAACGTTGCTGTTGTTTTTAGTAATATCGGCTCGTGTTAGGGAGTAGATCTTGAAGGAGGCAGATCTATGGAGAAAACTCAGTGGAAGCCGTTCTTTTCCCACCTGTGTGTTCAGCACTAATGATGGCTGGGCTGGGTGCAGCTGCTGCCAATTGTCTGCAGCTCGGTGGTGGCTTTCTGTTCGCGTTGTGGTGCCAGCCGTGCCCAGCCGGCCGGTGCCGCTGCGGTTCCAGCCGAGCCCTGCTGTGACAGCTGCTTTCAGCTGCTGCTGCTGGCATCCCCGGTGGTCCTGAGACACGGAGAGAGGTCGTCCTGCTTGTGGGTGGATAGTCCAGGCCATCTTCCAAGGAAGGCAGGACCGTCCTCCAGCCAGACCCCGGCACAGCTGCCGTTTTCCTGGCTCTGCCTCTCCAATCCTTCCTGGGCTTGTGTCAAGGGGAAGGTGGCTCGTTCGCTTGTGTTCAGAATAGCTGCAGGACCAAGCTGTGTGGTAAAGCAGCGCTGTCTGCTGCTGGTTTCCTTAACCCATCCTTTCTCAAGCAAAAGGGCAAATTTGGGGAAAATGATGATTTATTTCCATAGTTTCTATGTTTTACCTCCTTTTGCCTCCTGTCTTTAGACATAACCTAAAACCCTGAAACCCTGAGCTTTTTTTTTTTTTTTTTTTTCCTCAGAGAAAACCAGCTAGTGATTTGTATTACATCACTCCATTGCTAACATAGAAATAGTTTAAACCACTGTACGTGCTCAACTGAGAGCCTGAGCCCCGTGTTCCTGCCATCTGGGTTTTCTTAGCAGTATACATATGTGAAATCTCCACAAACCCCGTTCTACGGGAGAAATGAGGTTAACCTGTGTCTGTGCAGCCAGAAACAAATTCTCCTGATCCTTTTAGATCTGAACTTGCAGGAGGAAAATGATTCTCAGCTAGCAAAAGCCAAGAGATGCAAATGGTCTGCACCAAGCTCTGCTTTTTGCGATAGTAGATGTGCCCTTTCCTCGAGAACAGCTGTTTGCTTAGTTGACTACTGAATTATGCAGTGCCTTTATTTTTGCCCTCATCTGTCATCTTAATCCACCTGAAGGCATTGGCCAGATTTTTATAAACACTCCACTATTGTTTATTTTGCAGGCACTACCCGAGGGGCAGACGGCATCCTGGGACACAGCCAAGGAAGACGAAAACCGCAATAAGAACAGATACGGAAATATAATCTCCTGTAGGTGTTAATGCACATTGCACTGAGCTTTCTCTATGGTTTTATAAGCATCTTGTGGAAGCAGGGTGTGCTTGAGAACCTTGCTAAAAGCTGGTTTACATTGCTGAGCATTCAGTAGTTCAATTGGATTGTTACGTGCTGTTTATTTCTAGGATTTTTTTTTTTTGGTTTATGGTTTTTTATTGGTCTATGTAAACTCAATGCATGATTTTACCCTTTTTAATACTTGTAAAATCTACCTTACTTTGTATTTGATGTCTGTAATTTAAGGACTAAATCCGTTTGTCAGATTTTCACAGTGGATGATGATACCCATTTTCTATGGATTTTTATTACTAAACCCAGATCTTTCAGTGCCACAAGTGGGAGTGAAAAAAGAGACGGGGATATGTCAGGTTTTTAGATATGAAAGATATAGATAGATACCAGGTTTTCTCCTTCTTTGTGGTCAGTAACCAGTGGAGCAGCTGCTACTTATCTACATGTATACCTGGTTTGATGACTAGTACAAGCGTAGCTTCTGCTCCAGAATCACAGTAAGGCAGTTGAAAATGCACTGAAAGCTTCTTAATTTTACTTCTTTCAGTAACCAATTAGTGTTACTAATTGTGGTTAACCAATAGTGGTGTTATAGGGATATTAACACTTGCAGAACTACAGGGCATGGAGGACTCCTGAGGTTAGTTTTAGTCTCCAAGTCAGGACTAGCTCCACCTCTGTCATTTTTATCAGATCTTTGTGACACCTTTTCCTAAAGATCTCCAAATTTAAGCTTTCCAAAAACTCTCCAGGCAGCTTACCCCAGTGTTTCATTATTTGCTGTAATGACTGGGACATATGAAAAGAGGTGTGATAATTCATTCTTTTTAAGGGTTGCTGAGCAGCATCAAATTGAAGAAGCCAGGCCTGAGACCCTCAGAACAAGAAATAGGGATATAAATGGTTATGCCATAGATTTATGTGACCGGATAGTTCTATGGAACACTACAAAAGCAAAATTAAGTCACATGGAATGACATATTTAGTAGTATATTTTTTCTCGGGTTATATGTGTACTTCCTGTAGGAGAAACAGACTTTACTAAAGAAGTGGGAAACAAACAAACAACAAAAAAAACTTTGTCACAAATCTCTCTCACATACCTTAAGTTCCCTCTCATTCCTTTAAAACTTGAAAGAAGTGATTCATGTAACAGTTTTGGGGTAATGGCATAGAACAGATCAGGAACCCTATGGCAAAGGTGAAGTCTGGAAATGAAGATCAAAAGTTTGTGAGCCCTGATCTGATCCCATTTCTGCTTGCTGCCTTTCTGCCTTGGTTGTGAGCAGGTCACCAGTTCCCATAATTTTTTGTTTCTCCGTATGGAAAATGGAAGTGGTACCACTAGAATATTACAGATAGTGTGGAAATCATCCCCCTTATCTTCAGGTGCCAAAAAAGCACAGCCTTGCTGTAAGCTTCCCGTGTTGCTAATGGGAGATACCTCCAGACAGAGGTTCAATTTGCATGTCTAGACAATTAGCTTAGATCAAATTATTCTGAGAGATGAATCATCCAGCTTTAACAACTGCACATTTGTTTGAAGGTGGAAGTGCCATAGTATGATATAAGGAAAGAAACATGAAAGACTGTGTGCCTCTGCGGGATTTTGAGGAAGCGGTTGACACAATGTCAAAGTGCAGGTGAAAAGAGGCAAGAGCCACCACTGAATTTATGTTGAAGGTGGTCACAAAGAAAACACTGAACTCCAAGTGAAACGTGAGAAGAAATTAAGGAAGCAAAATCAAGGAAGATAAATGGGTTATTATCTAAAGGGAAGGTGTTCACGAAGATTAATTGTTGTCTAACAAAGAATGATGTTAGCCTTTTGCTATAAATATAAATACAGTAGGAATATAGATAAGAGGTGATGCGCTTGAATAAGGAAATGCAAAATGTAATCAAAGCTAAGAAAAAAGTATCTGCAAGGTACAAAACAGAAGAGCACAGGTTTGAGGGCTTGTTGTTGGGGAAAAAAATCAGATGGAGGTTGAGAGGATGGAGAGGCATAGTAAGGAAAGCAAAGGTCATGAAAGAGAGCAGGGGTGCAGAAGGGTTGAAGGTAGACAACAAGGCTGGGATGGTTTCCTTTACTTCAAATAAATATGAAATAAAGACTTTGAGAAGGAGACAATAACTTATAAAAGATGGCACAGAGAATTTAGTAGCGTGCCATAAAGAGTGATGAAGTAAAATGGATTGAGGTTATCTGCTTCTCTTTGAAGGTGCTGGGGAGAAGGAAGAAAGGATGCCCAAGGAAGGGGCATAACGTTCATCAGATGTTCTGTAAAACCAGTGCGAAATTATCGTTGATGTCTTTGGCTAAGCCTTGAGCCAGACCATACTGGTGGGTAGCATCGGGCAACTTCCCTGAGTAAAGGCAGTGACAGGATCCAGAATAGAGAATTGACAGAAGAGCTGAAAATAGCAGGAGAGCAGTTCCCTCTGGGCGGATCATGAAAATGAATTGTGCTTGGTGGGTACAGACTGTGCAAATGCCTGAGCAGAGGAGAGGAGGCGGAAAACAATTACACCCTTAGCTGCTTTGTTGTGCTAGAGCTGCAATTGGTGGTAAAACCCAGAGTACGCACTGATTGCTCTTACTGGTGCGTTTGGTAAAATGTTGCAGATGTCAATTAACATTATTTGTTTAACCACAGTTGCCATGTCATTAGTCCTGAAACAACACAGTCCATGCTTTCTGGGGACTGAATTGACTAGTCAGGTTTTGATCTAACTTCTGTAACTGCTTCAGAGGCTTCTGTTAAAATGTGGGTTTATAAGCTCTAGCAACAAGTAGCATTGCTCAGTGATTCACAGCAGATTAGATCTTGTCTTTCTGGCCTCCTGGGTAGTAGTACACTTACAGGACCATTTTACTCAGCTTACCACTTTCCCAGTGGTATTTCCCTGTATTAACACTACGCCTCTGTGAAAACCTAGATCAGCCCCAACATCTGCTCTTCTTAGATTTGCAAACCAAAACTGGAGGTGTATCAGTTCACTGGGAGGAGATGCAGGAGAACCCTCAGCTTTTCCATTCTTTAAACCCAGACTTTTCAGGGCTCCTTTCAGTCTGGAACTTTTGGCATGATTTTAGAGAAAAGAGAAAGCCAGAGAATGGATTTAGTGTCTGTATGACCACAGAGATCCATTGCTGATGGTGAAAAGATGGTTTCTCTTTGCTAACTGTAATTTCATGGATCCACCATGCTTTAGGGAGCTGCTCTACTTGAAGTTTTTGATATGTCAACAGGGTCCATGATCTATGCGCTGGTGCTTTCGTTGTAAAAACTGGCGAGTTTGTCTTTGCAGACCAGCTTAGGGTGCAATTTCAGGTAGTAGATGCATCTGTGTACTGAATCTACATTACTTAAATTTGCTTTAGAGCAATTTTAATTGATATTGAGGCTTTCAAAGTGTATCAGCAGTTGATGGTTAGGGGACAGGTTGTACTTGCAAGTTGAGCTGGACCTATTACGTAGAAAAGGAAACATCCAAAAGCTATATGGGATCTTTACTTCTATTTCTCCTCATTCCCAAAGTTAAAGTAAAAACGCTCAGGTGAGAGCTAAGAAAATAGAGATGTAGGGTTGTGTTTAACTTACAGGAGAGCACCATCTTTCCCTTTTGTTTTATCCCTTTTCTGAGCATATAATTACAGGAGGAGCATAGTACTCACAGGGATGCTTGTACCAGTGCTTCTTTAGACAATTCTCCCATCTGCAGTGGAGCTCCACCATCTTCCCACTTAGGCGATGATTTTAACATTTTGTGACGGTCCATTAAAAACTATGGAGTTGGTAACAAAAGACGGTAGAGAAAACGGCTTCATTTTGTTTGTGCTCTGACTGCTGTATGCTTTGGGCTTGAAGACTGCAAATTAACCCAGATTTTGTGGTGTAACTGACAGACACTAGAGAAGGATTAACAGAGCTCCCAGCTGAAACACAGGTAGAGTGGACTTCTTGCCCATGAACAAGGATAATGCATAAAAAACAATAGCAACAAATGTCAGTTGTGGAATTAGAATGTAAATCTCTTATCTTCCAAGCATTTTTATCTCATGGTTTCTTCTGTAGTGCCTAAGCTCTTGCTTGTCTGTGCAGTGTCCATGGTATGTGATCCTGGGAGCGTGGCAGGTTCCACACCTTGCTGTTATCCTGTTCCCAAGGCACGGTGTGGGATGGCTGGGGATGGGATTGGAGGACTGTGTTGATTCATTGCAAAAGATGTCTGCATTTCTCCATCAACTATGTGGGGAACCATGACAGACAATTTAGACTAGCTGCATAATATTTAGATGGCGAAAGTTGCATGAGATTAATCCAGTGCTGGTGTCACAATGGTATGTGGAAAAATTGCAATGATATTTCAAATGATCACTAATGGGAATTTTGACAGAAGTTTCAGACGATAACGTCTTTGTACTAAAATGGGAGCACAATGCTTTTCAGTGAAATTCTTGTCATTTTTGAAATCTGTTTTAAGACCAATTTTCAGTCAAAGTGCTCTTCATACAAATTCAGAGTTCTGCTAACTTGCATACCAACTATAGCCAACAGGGAGAAACAAAATCAAATATACATCTGTAAATATACTTCCATTTTTTGCAGCCTTGAATATTACAGACATACAATTTGTCTTGTTACTCTCCTTTTTTAAAGTTTCTCATGATGCATTTGTATCACATGGTGATTTTATGACGTCTGATGAGTGTACAGAAATGTTGAGTGACACCTTTCATTTCAGTATGCTTAAATATGTTGTCTCTATGGCTGGTGTTGTCCAGTGGAAAAGATGTGGAATCAGGAATATGTTCTAGCCATTGGGAGTAGATATAATTAAGATAATTACTATTCTTTTAAAAGCCCTTTAAAGTCTGTAAATGAAAAGACTGAGTAGAAGATAATTAGTATTGCTGTTAATAGTACAGTAAGTTGCATTGTTTTTTTGTCCCTCTTGATTTAAAAAGAAAAAAAAAAGTTTTGGAAAGAAAGTGATTTGCAAGGTAAGTTATTTCATGACCTTTTATTCAGAATGGTCTCCTAAACTTATGAACTTATGATTGAAGACACCATTTACACATCATTAATGTTTTGTGTATATTTATACATATACAGTTTTTCTGCTGTACTTTTCACACTCTTCAGAGAAATAAATCTCCCACATGTATTGATGCATTTTTGTAAAACATGAGACAACTTACTGTAGATTCTATCCACCTGAAGCAAAGCTCAGCTAAAAATAATTTTCTTTTGAATCCAAAATATAAGATGACCTAAACCTGAATCTCTCTTTTTGTTTTTTTTTTTTTAAATCATTCATTTCCAGTGGTCATTTCTTCATCCTTTAGATAGATAGGATAACTATCTTTGGTACACATGAACAAAAGAAACACTTGTTAATAGCTACAGAGCACCTTTTATTTATCATAACTGTCTTAAATTCATAGACCTATTCTATGTCCTTTTAGGTCTTTCACAGCGAGGTCCCTTGGGGAGGTATTCATCTTGTCTGTTTTAAGTTTCTAATTTAGGAGTGGCTCAAAGAGCTGAAATGTGATTTGTGAGTTTGGCTCTATTAACTGAAGATAAGATCTTCCTTAAGGGCTGTTCAGAGCACTTCAGCCACACACTGTACGTAGACAGTGTCTTGGTCCCACTTAAACAATTAACTTGAGATTCTTTTTACCTGTCATTAGGGTCATTCTGGGTCTCATGACTTTTCAAGTTATATTATTGCAATAAGCTTAGACTTTCATAACATTATTATACTGTGGCATCGCAGGGAGGATTAGCAAATGTTCTCCTCACAACCATTAACTCTAGGGACTTTTTTCTTTGCCTTTGTTCTGTGCGATTCTTAACTAGCTTAGTTTCCTGCCTTGAATTGCAAGTGTGAAATTGTCTACAGGAGATTTTGTGTGTTTCATCGAGATGTCCAGCTTAATCAGCTCGTTGTCTGTCTGTGTGAATTGCACTAAGTATAAATTCCTTTGTTGTCTGTCTAAACACAAGATTTAGTGCAACTCCTAGTGAGCTTGCCTTGAGCATGGGTAATTGTCTGGAGCTGGGAGCAACATCAGCACTTAGAGAAAGATACCTGCTGCATTTGCAAAGTTTGTATTTATTAATACAAATGTAGCAGAGCTTTTGAAGGATTCACCAGCAAAACCATTTTTGAATGCAAATATGGCATTTGATAAATACAACAATGTGGCTGTATTTTTTGGGTGTGAAAATTTCACCCAAACAATGAGCAGAGTATGAGAATCATTGCTTTACATGAGCAGATGAATATTTAATATACATCCAAATCCCATTTCTCAGAACTGCATGTACATCTGTCTTCACAATTATTATCTGATTCCACGTTTAATTAAGTCACGACTAAAACCTTTTTGACTGAGTTACTGCAGAATCACTCCTCGGATTTATATGTTTTATTGTGATGATTCTTTTTAATTGAATCTAAATCATGCCTAGGTCCATATTTTGCAAAGTGCTTCTAAATATTAATGCTTTACTGCCTAGGAGCTACTGTCTACATGGCTAGTAGGGAGGAAACAAACTTAATGGAATCTGTTTTCTGCTTCATTATAAAACCCTTCAGAAATGAGCCCAGCAGGCCTGGCTGTGACCTCCGTAACCCGACTGCCTTTCCCAAGCAACTGGTTCTTAGATAACACTTCTGCAATTAATTGCATACCGGGGCTGGGATTGCCAGACCAAATCAGATCAATGACCCAGCTCACTGAGTACCTCCTTTGACAGAGCTCAGCACCAGCTGTTCCAGAGGAAGATCAAAATATTCCCTTGGTGGACAGTCATGACATAATCAGCCCGCTGGGGCGCTTCCTTTCTGTGCCTGAACTGCAGAACATACTGGGAGAGTATCAAAAGACTGATACCTGTTATTTTATTGCCTTATCTAAAGTAACTTTGAATGTCCATAAAGATATGAACTTTTTTTTTTTTTGTCTGGAACACAGCTTCACACTTTGCCTTGCTGTCACTTTGCTGCAGTGGTTTCTGCGGGCTGTATGAGCATTGCTCTGAGTTCCTTTGGTATTTTCTTTCAGTTCCTTGGGTTGCCCCACTTGTTACTTGTAGGATTTCATCTGTCATTTTATCCTCCTTTAATCTTTTATACCTTTGTCACGACCTCATTTTTATCCTGTTTTTTACTGTTAGTTCTTACCTCAATTTATGTGAACCTAAGGAATCTGGGGAGGCTGTTACTTCCCATGGTGACGATGGCTCTTGTAAAGGAGATGCTCTTCCTGCAAAGACCCCAAACCAAGCAACATCTGTGGTCTGTGTATAGCTCTGTAATAATTTATAGTGATGGCAGTGAATTTAATGAACATTGAGTTTGAATGAACACTAACTTAAAGATCTAAACATTACATCTTAAGTACAAAAGAAGGGGCACATAGAAGGAATAGCTCTGATACTCTTTCATTTTTTACTATTGTAAGTGTTCAATTACCCACTTGAAGGAATCGGCAGATAAAATAAAGCACTGACAAACTCCTCTTTATTGTTACTGTCACTTTTTTCTTTCCTTCTTTCAGATGATCATTCAAGGGTGAGATTGCAACTGCTGGATGGGGACCCTCACTCTGACTACATCAACGCCAATTACATCGACGTAAGGCTCATGGACATTCCTGAAGTGACAAACACTCCTGCTGACAAGCCTGCTTACCAATTTGGTGCATCTCATGTAGGGACAGACTGCTGGTCTGATATGAATGACAGCTGAAAGTTATACAGACATCATGTTGTGACAGGGAGAAGGTTCTTGGCCTCCAGTTTATTCTTTCTGACCAGTCTAGACAGATGGAGATTTCCTGTGTCTGACAGATCCACAAATATAAGTGGAATGTGGGCTAAATGCGAGATGTATGTGAAAATCAATATCAGCCCCTCGCAATAACATTAACAGATATCTGAGATTTATTGACTGCATACAAAGTCGCAGGACAGAAGGCATAAGTGGATTGACTTTTTTTTTTTAGAGTATTGTAAAATAACATTTAAAAAGCAAACTCACACAGGATGGTCAAACGAACATGCATTTCTTTCATGCATCTCCTAATGCTTAGGAACATGATGCTGTTCAAAAGAGTTTCTTTAATAGAAGAAACCAAAAAATGCGCTTCATAAAGTTACGTACCACTGGCATTCAGTGTTATCATACAGGGGCAAACCCACTCCTTTCTTGTTTTTCCAACACAAAGATGCAGTTTTTTCTGTGTTAGTTTTCAGAGCTGACCATGGGTTAATTATGGCACTTTTCTTTCTTTGAATGAATAGCGAAAACTGCTCCGTTCCTGTTTTCTCTTTGCTATGATGAGATCTTATGATTTTGTGGGGTTTTTATTACTCAACCTGAGTGAGATACCATCACTTAAAATCTCATGGGGCAGCCTCGTTCTTTATCTTCATGTGTTCAACAACCATTGTTAGTACACCATTAAGTGTATGACAGTCGTTGGTGCCTGGAAGGTATAAATGCATGCTTTATTTAACTGTGATCTCAGACCATCACCATTTTCTCTTTTTTTTTCCAGGGGTACCACCGGCCTCGTCATTACATTGCAACTCAAGGCAAGTTCATTCTTGTATGTCTATATATTTGTAAAACCTCTGCTGTTTTAAATTGCTGTAGGAGTTATCTCTAGGGTGACATCTGCTCTGGGAACGTCTGAAGTTCCAAGATATTTAAGACACTCAAAAACAAAATCTCAGCTGCAGGAGTAAGACTTAGAGGTGGCAGTGCAATCTATAATGTGCCCTTTGTGCATGAAATATGAGATTAGAACTAAAAGGGACTTAACGGAGCTTGGGTTTACCTTCTGGAGTGAAATTTCTTGGGGAAGGCTGTATGAATATGCCTGGGACTGATGAGTTTTTGTTGGTGGGCACTATTAGGAAATGCATTAGAACACCATCTTCTGTAAATTAGTTGAAATTTCCTCTGCCTTTAGTGGCAAAAAAAAAAAAAAAAAAAAGCTAACCAACACAATTCAATGTTCAGAGCTATCAGTGTTAGATGATGAGCCTTCCTACTCCTGGTCTGTGCACTAGGATGCTGTTGTCCTGCATCGCTGGGCAAACTATTTTGCTATGACCACTTCCTCTACCATTATTTGTTCTCATTTCACTGCATTCCTTCCTTCCCTACAAATGTGTTGCTACCATAAACGACCCTGTTCTTAAGTTCCACTTTGTGACTTTCTCACTGGTTTGTCCCTGTTGAAGGAGTAAAGGAACATACCAGAATAAAATTGGTGTATGGGTTTATAAGGGTATAGGGAATGCAGCAATGCAAAGAACACGGAGGATGGAATTTGGACAGGATTGGGTGAAGTTTGGGTGAAGGATTTCACCTGCAGCATAGAGGAGGAGAAGGAAACAAAGTCAGAGAGAGCCTCTAGTCTAATAAATCTTTTGCTGTTTGGCTGTTGGAGCCTGAATTTTTTTCCTCTGGGAGGACTTCAAAAAATTGTGGATTTATGCATGTTTTCTCCTTCATAATTAGTAAATATTAAAGTATGAACAGAAGAATTTGTGTTGCATCACATTAAAAATTTCAATACAGCCTTAATTCCAGAGAGACTGCATGGTGCATCCACCTCCCATTGCTTATACATGATTTCCTACAGGAGCTATCTCCCCTGTGTACAATACAGCCATCACCTCTGTGTACAGCCTGCTAGCACCTCAAATACTTGCTGCAAGGAAGGACAAGGTGTCTGATACCTCAAAGAGCTCTAGGCTGTTTAGTGCCTGTAACCCTGAATCATGGAGAGATGCCCTGGAAGGGAGAGTAGGATCCTGTGGGATCCACAGGGCAGTGGCTAGGAAATAGCTGAAATGGGTTGTTGGCATTAAATACTCTCTCTGAAGATGTCCTTTTGTCTTTTCTGTTGCCCCAGGGCCGATGCAAGAGACAGTGAAGGATTTCTGGAGAATGATTTGGCAAGAAAACTCTGCAAGCGTTGTCATGGTCACCAACTTGGTGGAAGTGGGCAGGGTAAGGATACCGTTTTCCCAGCAAATACAACCAAACCAGTGCTGAGTATAGCACCATGTTGCTGCTGCAGGCATGCTCAGCCAGTGAAATGCTTTTTGCTTACTGTAGTAAGGGAATGAATTAATCCACTCAGGGTTTTTTCTTCTAAAGTGCTAGATTTTGTAATACTTAGCTGCTTCCATTCCAAACTAATAAGGATCTTGTTTCTGGTGTAAGTCTTGACTTTAGCAGAGTTAGACAAATTTATGCTAGCTGAGGAGCTGTCTCCTTTTCAGTACAGAGGGAAAAATGTGCTTTTATAATAATTATTCTTTATCTGTATAATTTGAATACTTCCCTACCCACAAAAATCTGGAGGGGAGAGGACGTGTGACTGGTGTTTGAGCTGATCAAAAGAGCTCTTTAAATGACGCTTCAAAGCCAAGAGTTTCTAATCATTTCAGAATATCACTATTCCATGGTGGTGTGAGACCATGCATAGCTGAATCCTGGGGCCACCCAGCACCTTTGGCCTCCTCACCAGCCACAGCTTCACTCTGTTGGACACAGGTGGGCCAGGAGTCCCTGTGTAAGCACAGAGTGATGGCCAAAGACCAGGATGGGAGCAAACATGAATAACTCAAAGGGCGCGGGCTCGCTGTGGCCAGCTCCAGGGAATAAGAAAAAGGCACACCTGGGGTGTGCTTTCCTTAGTGCATTCTCCCCACTCCTGGTAGTGGAGTCTCTTTGGTTTAGAGAGATTCTCAGCCAGAAACCATCACTTTAAAATGTTGTCCTTCTGTTTCTCACCTTCGATTCCTGTTGTACTAAAAAAAAACATTTAAGCAATTGATTATTCACAACTGTTAGTAATTCAGCTGCTTTTTATTTGATTTCCTTTAGATCTCATGGTTGAATGCCACCTGGTTCTGTTCATTTATTGTTATTTATTCTATTTTACTTTCTACTGACACTTCAATTTGAAATAAACTCTTTTGTGTAAAAAACAAAAAACCTAAATTAATAATGTTTTATATTTATAAATGCTGTTTATGACTAGAACTGGAATATGAAAGCTGCTCTGCATTAACTAGTCATCTCAGCTTTTAGGTGCTGTTTCACTTTTTCATGCTACAGCATTTAATAGCTTGATAGCTTTTGTTATCCTATATGTCCCCTCTAAAGCTTCACAGCCCCGGTTTTTATTTTTTATTTGGTTTTGCACATGGCTTCTGAAAGTAGCTAAGCTTGGGATGTGTTCACATGATCAGGAGATTTCTTTCAGGAGCCTAAGCTCAGGCACATCATAAATGTCAAATTTGTGTCCTTATCTGGTAAGGGATGCTTTAAACCCAAATAAATTTAATGCATCAGGAAGTATTGCACAGTCCGTATGAACTGAAATTGTTTAGCTGTACAGAGACCGTTTGAAATCACAGTAACAATAGCAAGAGCACTTTTTTTCTTAAAGATGGTGATGCTAGTGACTGCAAGGTGTTCTGTAAACCTGACATATGGTCTGGGCTTCTGTGGGAATTTAAGAAAGGCTATCCTAAAAAAAAAAAAAAAAAGTTAAATGAATGCTTTAATTAGTATTCACTACGGATTAAACTTCTGTATTTGGTAAGGGAGTTTTGATCTCATTTATTTACTCAGTTTTGGCATGGTCTGTACATCACGAGAAATTTCACTTTGTGTCATCTTCAGCTTGAAAGTGGAGTAAAATGTGTCAGCTCTGTCTCAAGTTAAATGACTTCCTCTCAACGTTTTCTTTCCCTCCTGCCAGGTGAAATGTGTTCGGTACTGGCCAGATGACACAGAGGTCTATGGCGATATTAAAGTCACACTAATTGAGACAGAACCACTGGCAGAGTATGTCATACGCACATTTACTGTACAAAAGGTAAGGAAATCTTCAGTCAGCTAAAATTTTGTTATAACACTCAGTTTTTGATCTGACGTGAACTCTGGGAAGCATGTCCAGAGATCTGGAGATAGGAACCCAGTGTGGCTAGGCTTCACCTCAGAAACCTAAATTTTTGACAGGTATTCCAATTTTGGATAAATGATTTTACTCAAATATTGTGCCGTAGCCACAAAAGTAGAATCCACAGTGCATGAAGTTTAAATGCATCCAAAAGCCAGCAGGTAGTTGACTATATGCCAGGAATAATAACTATCCCATTTCACAGTGGAAAATTATAGATGAAGAAAAGATACCAGTTAAATTGATGCCAGAGATGATCCCTTTCCAATCGAAATAAAATATGATACAGGCTCAGCTACGAAAAATAGTCCCTAAATCAGCAGGATTCAGAAGATTTGTTATATATAATTAGAAATCAGATGTCTAAATATCAGAGTATTCCAGGTCTGTCCAAATCACTCTCCAAACACTCAGTAAGTGTTTTTAAAGCTTTTCAAAAATTCCTACTAAGACAACTTAAACTTAACCACAGTGGGAATGTTCCAGTTTACTAACATATCAGATCCACCTTCCACTGAATCACTAAAAAACGTGGCAAAAAATGCTAATGCCAAAATCTGACAGGATAGTGGACTCCACATATGTTTCCTGTGCAATAAAATGTCACAACTAACTGACACTTCTATGTTACTCTTGGCAGGACGTATACAAGTGGTGTCGGTTTTCCTGCACCAGTAACTTGGTGTTACCAGGAAAGCCAAGTGGTGGGTTTGAGTATCAGTTTCTGCCCTATTTGGAGGTAGCAGAAAATCCAGAGTGTGTGTATTATTTAGGTGTTCATTCCCCAGTCTGTTGCTTCAATGCCTCAAGAAACGTTTGAGAGTGATGGTTTGGAGATATCACAAAACCAGACTGGATAAGTGCAGGCCTGGTATGCCGGGACTGACATCGCTCTGTAATGGTCCTAATCAGCTGGTTTTGAACCCTAAGACCACAGGTTTGATACAGGTGCTGGCATTCACCTTCATAGTCCTTGGTTGTATGTTACCCGGTTCATTTGTAGTTGGAGTGAATCTCGATCCTTCACCTCGAAATCTCTTGGAGTGAAAAGTGGTATAGGACATGTTCCTGCGTGTAATTAGAGCTAGCTGCTTGTTCAGCCCTCTGCACGAGGGAAGGGAGCACTGATGAGAATATGCTGATTGCAGTCTGATGGAAGAAAAATAGAGGCTGTGTTGTCTCCTCAGAAAGGCTACCATGAGATCCGAGAGATTCGGCAGTTCCACTTCACCAGCTGGCCAGACCACGGGGTTCCTTGCTATGCCACGGGCCTCTTAGGCTTTGTTCGGCAAGTGAAGTTTCTCAACCCCCCAGAAGCAGGACCTATTGTTGTGCACTGCAGGTATGCAATCTGTGTCTGAGCTTTTCCTCCATCAGCTTTTTCAGCTTTTTTCCTTCTTCTCATTTGGCAATAACTATGTTTTGTTTGTTTAAGAGTATAATTTGTGGGCCTCCCAGGGAAACAAAGTAGAATCCGGTTTTCTTTTCTAAAGTGGCAGCTCTGGAGCTTAGCTGGTGTGAACTGGAGATGATATAAGTAGGTCAGAGAGGGCTATTCAAATGTAGAGGACTCTCTGGTGGCCCATACTCTCTTAGCTGCTCATAGTAGAGCTGGGAAAATGGTAAATATCTGGGACAGCCAGTCTAGTCATTATCTACAACAAACCTCACGTGGCAGTACGGGTGATGCCTACCAAAAAAAAGAAAAGAGGTCTGTGGACAGGGAATTTTAAAGCAACTTTGCTTTTCTGTACACACATTCACTGCAGTTCAGCTTTGTACTAGGGTACAGTAGGTTTTATCTCAAACATTTTTTTGTCTTCCTGGCTCTGGATACCTGCCATGTGCATCTTAGCCTTCTCAAAGCCCAGGATCTGGAATGGGGATTTCAGACTGAAAACCAGCCCCGTGTCTTCCAGATAGTAAATAAGAGACGAATGCCTGAGGAAAACTGACTGCTTGGTTTACAGCCATGAAAATTCAGATTATTGATTTGCATGCTGGCTACTTCCCTGGTTGCTGCTGCTACTGGTGTGTGCTCTTTTAGCACCACATTCTTCCAACTGAGCTTAAGACCCTACTGTGCAAGGCAGTACATGAATATGTAGGAGAGTGTGCCGACACGCAGAACTAGCAGTCAGAGATGCAATCAGACATGCTAATGGTGGAGGGAGAGCAGAGACTCCCAGGGCTGCCATCAGAGCTAGGAAGAGAAACCAGCTCTCCTGACTTGTCCTAACTCTCCTGATACTTATCACCAGCAACTTGCAGCGAAGGAAAAATTGGGGGGGAGGTGTTATGCTAGATTGGATCAATAGTTCATATAATTTCTGTGGATGATGCATTGCGGATCAGAAGATGGTAACAGAACTCAGAAAGAATTTTCTGCGTTAGTGAGCCTTGGATGTAGGTAGGTGTCCTTTCTATGGCTTTCCAGATAAAATGGTTGCTCCTGTAACACACTATAGTTATGCAAACCCTTGTTATAATGTGACTTCAAATTAAGAGTGCCTGGCTACAGAAAACAAGTTTGGCTTTGGAGCGGCTACTTGTGCATTGGTCAGAGCTCAGTGCACCTGTTCTGGAAAGGAGCCATGGATGGAGCACGAGGGTAGAGAGCAGAGCTGGCTGCCCCCAGATCTCACCCTGAGCACTCCACAGGCACCTACCTCCTAGTGCCACCCTCTGAGATCAGGAGGAGAGAAGAAGAATATGCCTCACAATCGCTTTAAAAAGGAAAACCAGCTAAATCTTTCAACAGTTTGGGGTGGTTTTTGTTTTTCTTTTTGTTTATTGGTTGTTCTTTTTTATTATTATTATTATTTTTTTTTTTTTAACGAGCAAGTGCTGAATCAGATTTATAATAAAATATGGCTAAACCAGAGGAGCTGGCAGAAGGGAATTCTTTCAGAGCTCTCAGGGTTTGAATTTGCTGCCTTGGTGCTGTGACATGGGTCTGGCCTTGGAAGGAGTCTGAACCTGATTCATCGTCACCAAGAAAGCAAGGAGAAATTTTTCATCCTTCACATTTTAATGAATAAATGCCATTTCCTCTCCGTTATTTATCTGCTTTTGAATTTTAATGACTTGCTTTAAGTGGTAATTACCAAATTCTCCCTACCGATGCCTGGCTGGATATTATCACTATTCGATATTTATGAAGTGCCAGGGTCCTCTAAATATAGAAATGTTATAACTATTTGTTAAAATTCTGAAAAGCTGAGAGATAAAGAGAGAGGAAATGCCACTTATTCATTAAAATTCTGCAAATGAAAAATATCTTCTCTCTATTCAGCAGTTGATTAATCTGGTCCATTAATTTATGGTCATTCATATCTCCTTGCTTTCAGCTCTGCTGGAGTTTTCATGCAACTGAAGTTTCCCGGATTAGAGCTGAGTTTTCCTTCTTTCTTTGGTGTGCAGAGATGTTCTCCTCTTTCTATCCTTCACACCTAAACAGCTTTGGATGATTTCCCGGGAGGGAAGGAGGACACAATGACAACACACTTTGCAGGAGATGGTCCGATTCTCACACGCAGCTAGGGGTTCTAAACTGAAGGGTTTGAGTAGACTCAGGCTCCCCTCTCTGTAATTTTACAATGCACAACTTGAAATCAGCCTGCCTGGGACCCAACTTCCTCTCGATTAAAAAGGGAAAAGAAGTGTTTAAGGCAAAGGACTGTTTCATCATGCCCACTTGAATAAATGGGCATGCCTTTTCCAAGTCACATGGGAAGAAAACCCTAAGAGAAACCCCCCCCACCTTCCCTGCCCTCCCAGGCTCTATCTTTTTGCAATCTGAAGGCTGCTCTCCCACAGTTTGATGAGATGTGCAGGTGAACCGACCCATAAAACCAAAACAAATATTTTTCTGAATAATGTTTCCATTGATTTTCAAGAAAACAAAGCCCTCTTTCCTCCTTCCTGGGTCTGTTTCCCTTTCAAGAAATATTCTTTCACCTCATTCCCTTAAATCCTAAGCCAATTTAACTGGACACGAGAGGGGAGCAGCTTCCAGAAGACAGCTGTGTTTGTAATAGCTATTTTCTCCTCCATAAAGCCCTGCCTCTCCACAGTCCCCTGATCACGCAGGCCCTCACTGTCTTCTCTTTTTTAGTGCCGGGGCTGGGAGAACAGGGTGCTTTATTGCCATCGACATCATGCTTGACATGGCAGAGAACGAAGGCGTGGTAGATATATTTAACTGCGTGCGAGAGCTGCGCTCCCAAAGGGTCAATTTGGTGCAGACGGAGGTAGGTGCCAGCAGGTCTCCTCTTACCATGTGCTGCTTTCCTGTCGGCTCCTCTGCTCGACAGGAGCCCAGCATTTCATTAAGTCAACACTTGCCTCCTCTGTGATGAGGTTATACACAACTTTCTTCTCTAAACATGGCCAGATGTACGCTGAATCACATTCACCCGCAGCTACTCAGGGTCTCAAGACAGGAGGGCAAACCTTGAAATTTAATTCTTAGTATTGCTGATTACTTTTATACTCATAGTAGAAAAGACAGTTCCTGAATCCTCTCAGGGCTCATTCATGGGTGTACTGCAGACTCACATAGTACCCATTCTGTATAAATCGCAAGCTAAAAAACAAAAGAAGCATCTTTGATTTAAGCTTAGGGTGCCAATGAAGCAAGCTGCTCCATCTCGTACCATTTAGCAGCTACACAAACTCCCATGGGACTGCTGTTCCGCTACGCAAGTTTTACTTGCGTGCTTCCCCTGCTGAGGGACAGAGCAATCGTCTGGAACAGAGAAGGACTTCAGCTTTGCTGAACTTCCCATATCCCATATTTTGTTCAGGGAAATAACTTTTCCCAGAAAACCAGATTCTTCAGCAGTTTTGAAAAGACAGGTGGAGCAGACTTGTTAGTCCTCTAATTTTTGCTGTTGGTTTCATAGGTCTGAAGTACAATCCATTCCTAGCAATGAAGAGATCATTACCTCGTGATTGCCAACAGGCAAGCTTTACACCCTGATTTCCTCCTTGGCCCAATCCTATTTTGTCCCAGCATTTCTGAGACTGGTGACTTCCCATTTGACTTGTAAATTTGAAATGAATACATGAGACCTCACATTCAATGATGGATGAAATATGCTCACAAAGCTGTCACATAGCACACTGTGTAATTTGTCTCCACAAGAAACAGTGCCAAATATGCATAGCAGGCATGACTTAAGGAAAAAAAAAAAAAAGGTGTGATATTTCATGATCTATATTGAAAATACAAGTTTAATATTTTATCCCCTCCCCTGTACAGGAGCAGTATGTATTTGTCCACGATGCCATTTTGGAGGCATGTCTCTGTGGCAACACGGCCATTCCAGTTTGTGAGTTCAGATCCATATATTACAACATCAGCAGACTAGATCCACAGACTAACTCCAGCCAGATAAAAGATGAGTTTCAGGTAATTTCATGTATCTATCTCAGTCATTGCAATTGGTGTACTGAAGGTATTTAACAATTTCTGTGTGACATTTTATGATTTCCATCATAGCAGAGAATTGGGACCCTGAACTGAGGTCTGATTTCAGGTGATTTTTGTTGTGTTACTACTGGATCAGGCAGAGGTTTGGTTTTAAGCTTGGGGTTTTTCAGTCTCTGGCAAGGAACATTTCCCATCACTTCAACAGAGCAAGGATACTAATTTTCACAGATAACATTGTACTTCTCCTTTAAGCAAATATGCAGTTGTTCATTTCCTTCTGTAATTTCTGCAGAAACATTTATGCCTCATGGTGCCTTATGCACTGTTCTTGTGGCTTGTATGTTGCTTCAGAGTCTTGACAATCAACTTGTTGATGTAATTCCATACAAGGAGAGAATGAAGAGTGAGCTCACTGAGCATTACTTTCTCTAGGACTAATTCTTGATGAACTGAAGCCCTCAGTTCACTCTGTATGTTTTTACAAGTACCTGGTGGCCAGAACTGGACTGACATATAATAAAGCAAGTGCTGGAGTAGCACTGTTTACCTGGGGCAAGCGATTAAATGGGGACTGCTCCACCTTGTGCTAACGCCACTGCTTATCCCACCCTGATAAACTGAGGCTTGGGACACACAAGCCACCAGCTCTGTGGAGTTGTTCCTCTTGCACAGCAAAGAGCTCACCCTAATGGTGGGCTGAACTTTCTACCCTTATTCCCAGTATATCTTTAAGTCCCTTCAGGATTTTCAACTAACACCAGCATGTGGAAAAATATAATATTGTGGGCAATTTGGAGGCAGGTGATTTGGACTGAAAGGAGAGAGAGAGAGGAGACCTCTGCTATTTATTAAGAGTCTGTTCTAAATCAACAGTGCAAAGATGGAGATTCCTTTAACTGTGGGAGATGTCCCTCCATTTCCCAGCAAAGTGCCTTTTTCAGGAGAACGACTTTCAGGAGCCCCAGTCTGAGCCAGGTGCCTCTTTTGCTCCCTCTCTATGCAACAAGAGAATGTGTTTTATCTGAAACCTTGCAGAGAATCATCAGGGTTGATATAGTGAGATAAAGTATGTGGATCTCAACTGATGACAGTTCAATTAAAAAAAAATCTGGTTTTATCAAGTGATATCAGATCTGTAAAAGTGTTTCTGGTTTTGGATGCTTGGCGTGAAGGAACTAAATCCTAACTTCATCAAATGCTGTTATGCTATTAAAAAATGTCACTGTTCAGTGTGCTTATTTTGTCATGATGTGAAGTGAGATTTGTTGCCCGTGTGCTTGTTCTTTTGAGCTGCCAGGGGCTGGCAGCTCCTCTGGGAAGGAAATGCTTCTCTGTACCTTGCATACGAAGTTTGTTTGCTGTCTAGTTGTACAATGTTATTTCTACAGGATTTTAGCTTGGAGCATTCTCCATCCCTAATTGTCTGAATTTAATGCAGAAGATGGTATCTTTTTCCACAGTCTTTATGAACCACTTGATCTAACTACATGTGTTGGTGCAATTTGTATTACTTAGGTCTCACTGTCCCCCAGGTAAGACTGGATGGATTTCTTATGCACTACACATTGCCTAAACATACAAGAGCTCATTCAGGAGAGCTTTCATAATCTGAGTAAGCACAAATACAGGGGAGTGAGGGGAAGGACATAAAATAGACAGGAGTAAATCACTAACAAGTCACCTGCCTAATTATCTGCACTGTCAGAGATTTCAGATTTCATGTTGCTTCCCCTGCCAGACTGGATGCTTCCCATCTCTAAACAAGGGGACTTTATGTAGAATAAAGTTTTTGCATAAATGCAAGAATTATGCATCTACTTTATGCATAATTTAGAGCAACTATATTATTCAAATATTACTTACCAAGTGTGTGTCCTACATGTTTGTCCTTTCTCTGTTCATAACCTCCCTGTAGAAGTCAATCTCTGTTAAAAATTGTTGGCCCCTATATATTTTGTGTTCATCTGGTGGCTGCAAAGGAATTCACTGTATGACTGCGTGGGCTTTGCTCAGGAGAGGAAAACATGACAAGTAAAAGAGGAATGCCATCAGATAGCTACTGATCTACCACAGCTTCAGTGACAGTGTTAAGATGTGTTCGCTTGGATTTGCTGTTTTTGACACCTGCTGAGTAACCTGCGGCTGGTTTGTCAGGAGGCATCCGCAGTGGATAACACAAAAGAAAATTACATTTAAAGAAACACGTTCTGTCAAGCTGTAGGAAAGACAGATAAGGGTAAAAGACCGGCAGCAAGACCCCAGAGATAAGGTATGGCTAGGTAAGGGAGGCATACCGTGTGTTCCTCCACAAGGAAAGGAGCAATCTAAATAATAGAGGCAACAGCTCAACTTTCCTGTTTAAAAACAAACAAGCAAACTAAAGCACCCCTTTCCACACACATGCACACACACCTCCTTTCTCTTATTTTTTTGTGTGTATTGTTCAGAGAAATCAATAGTTTGACCAAGGAATCACCAGAGGACATGAACCCACTCGGATGGGCTGGGCGAGCAGAAGGTGCTCGTGCACAGGGTGCACTCGGAGGGACAGGACGTGTGTGTCCACCCCAGGGATGGCAGAAACGTGAGGAGGTTTCACTCCATGACCAGGTCAAAGCTGCAGCTTGTAACGGTGATGGCTATTTCCAACCTCTAGAAAGAGCAGAAGCGTTAACTAACTGCTGTGGGGTTTTACAGCTGGAAATCGTTAGAAGGTAGGTTAGTGCCCTGCATTTCTGCTGGAGCTTGCGGTGTTTGGAAGAGAACCTCAGGAGGATGTGCAAACTGCGATGTATTATAACAGCGGCAAGCTCCCCCGTGCTCGTTCTTTTTCATTCTCTGGGATCACAAAGATCTGCTCTTCTAAGTACCTTTAGAGTAAACATATTGTGCAGATGGCATCCGTTTTGGATGTGAATTCAAAGACACTCAGCCTGCTTCTGTCTTTCCTTCTCTTCTTCCCTCCCCACTTTCACAGACTCTCAATATTGTGACACCGCGTGTTCGGCCAGAAGATTGCAGCATCGGGCTTCTGCCAAGGAACCACGACAAGAATCGCTGCATGGATGTGTTGCCCTTGGACCGGTGCCTGCCTTTCCTCATCTCGGTGGATGGCGAGTCAAGTAACTACATCAATGCTGCACTCATGGATGTAAGCAGCCATTCGCGGGCCCCACTAATCCTAGTCCGCACCAGGTTTATTCATTCTTGGGTTTCTCTTCTGGGAGAAATGGATCCAAAGCAAAAGGACTTGTATTTTCCCTGTGGGTTTTGAGTCTGAGCTCTCCAGGCTGGGCAAAGCCACACAGTTTTTCTCTCCTTTACAGAAGTGTGTCACTTGGTAACGTGGTAAATCACAGTCTATGTCATTCTGCCTCAGGCTGCTGCAAAAATCTTGTCTAAGAAGCTTTTGAGCGTGTGGTCTGAGGTTGTAGCTTAGAAAGGCTGACGAACAAAGAAGTGGTGGGCCAACTCTTCCCACTGGTTGATGCATAAGTTGGAAGAGAAACGTTCACGGGGAGCTGCCAGGTCAGCTCTTTGAAAAGAATAGTTTGCAGTGTGGAGTGAGTGATTTATTTGAGCTACCGCAGTTAAGAGTATGGGAGTACAGGGATCGGATGTGCAAAAAACCTCAGGACTGAAGGACACGAGTAAAACTGATGTGAATCTGTCTGAAGGCATTTTCTCTCACTTTGTTTATAGGCTAGAACCTCACAGCACAAGTCATTTGTATGGGGTGACTTATGCTGATGGTTTCTTTTTGCTGTGGTGCTTAGCTGCCTTTGGATAGGGATGCCTTTAAAGGCACTAATTATTGCAGTTGGAGTGTCTGTAAATACGGTCTGGGGTGAAGTGTCATCATTTTTTCCCAAGTGATGTTGAATAGGGTCATTTTTTATTTCCTTTTTTTTTTTTAATTTTGTCTGTTCTTTCAGTCTTTGGGGAACAGTGATAGTACTGCATTTATGAGGTTAAGTCAAATGATCATAGAATTAATTGTAGAGATTTTTTTCAGAAAATTGCAATGTCTTCACTGCAAATATGCCCGAGGAAACTTTTTTTTTTCTTTTTTTAAAGTGTTTTCTGTGCCTTAGCAAATCTGTAGAATCAATTTTCTTGTTTCTTAGGGACTGGGAATGTGCTTGCACATTTTAGCCCTCATTACCTCAAAGCACTTTGCTAATACTTGTGTCCTTCCATACAAAATTCCTAACTGCATTTTTTTTTTTTTGTATATAGAAACTTTTTATAAAGAAAGAGGGAAATCTTTTCCAAACTGATCATTTTCCAACAGCTTTCCTTTTCCAATCAATTTTTCACTTCCCATCACCTTGCCCATGTGTGCACCCCAGGAACATGGTGCAGCCACCCCACAGAGCAGTGCAGGGCACGATGCCCTGTCCCCCTCCCAGCCTGGGCCACTCACAGTTGCACCCACAGCTGGCTCATGTGGAGGAGAAGAGGCAAGCCCCCACGGCTGCCATCTTAATACACTGGGTATTTATTTATTTACTTACTTTAAATCAAAAATCTTAATCTGTGTCTTTGTTTGCTTGTTTTTAAAAAACAAGCATTGTAACTTTTGATACACGTCTGCTTCACAGAAGCACAGCACAAAGGACGGAGCATTTATAGGCTCGTCTAAGCATTGCCTGCTGTGGTTGGAAAGCGATAGTTTTGAGCTTCTGTCCTTTTATCTGCAGGTGCCTCTCAAACATTCATTAACACAGCCCCACAGAGGTTAGGACCACAGTTTCTCCCCCTCCTAGTTAGGGAAATTGAGGGCAGAAGGCTTTTTTGAGATGAAAGAACAGGAACAGAAGTTGAATGCCAGTGGTGCAGACTCTGAATACTCCCCCCCTATCCTTTTAAAGGATGGCTGCAACCCAACTGTGCCACTTCTGGAGCACCGTGCCACCAGGGAGCAATGGCAGATGGGGCTAATCCCTCTGCTAGGTCCTAGAGTCCATTGCAGCAAGAAGGAGAGCATTTGCTTCCAGCTGTTTTGTTTCCCATTATTATTATTACTGATAGTAGTAATAGTAGAATTAGTATTATTTGCTGAGTCTCAAAATATAAATAATTGATTTAGGTAATCTCTGCTCTTGTGACACTTCTTTAATGAAATGTCTTCATTGGGAGCAAAAGAATCCCATTATGAGACGTTCATTCATTGCACAGCGATAACAAGGAGAAGGATATGTGATTTGTATAATCTGGTTAAATGGCTCAGATTGCCTAGCCATAGCCTCCCGGGTATAATATTCATTTGAATAAAAGTTGATTGATTTTTTTTTTTTAACTAATCTTATTCTTTTGTTAGAGCCACAAGCAACCTGCTGCCTTTATTGTAACCCAGCACCCTTTGCCCAACACCGTAGCAGACTTCTGGAGGCTGGTGTTTGATTATAACTGCTCCTCCGTCGTGATGCTGAATGAGATGGATGCAGCACAGGTAAGTGATTTTTCATCATTCAGTCATGTAGTCATTCTTAAATCCAAAGGGTTTTAAGAGGGTTTCTGCTGCCATTTTCTTGTGGTCAAAAAGTAAATAAAATAAAGGATGGGAACCAGAATGTAATAGGTAATGGTTTTGGTTATTAAGAAGGAAAAGGCCCAGGCCCACATGCTCGAGTCTTTCTAAGGCAGCAGATTCTTACTGCATTTTACAGGGATGAAATATCTAGTATGTTACCTTCGTTGTGTGTAAATTCTCCTCCAAAACCCATTTCTATTTCTCCTCCTTCCTCCCTAAAAATACGTATTTCATGCTTGCCTTTTCACCCAGCGTTTCCAGAAAAATAAAACCCAGAGATACACCAAAAACCCAGGAAGGATCTTATCTTCTCCCTGAGCTTTCCAATGAAATTCGGTACTACTAAGAAGAACGGTTTGCACCATTTTTGGAAAAGCACGTTGTGCTGTGTTTATTTTTTTTATTTTTATTTTTTAAGTGTCATGTGTACGTTGGTTTCTTGGCCACCAAACACACCGTTATTTTCAGAAGTTGAGCTTTCAGGGGGAGGAGCCGTTGCTGTTGCTCCTGTTCCAGAATTTCCAGCCACCTTGCTGATGAGTGGCAGAAGATAACAGCTTTCAAAAAGGCGTAATCATGCAATTTGTGTGAAGAGTACGTTTGGCATTGCTAATTCACCCATTACAGCACTTGTTAAACAGGAGAAGAACTCTCAAGTAGTTGGTACTTCATGGATTAATTTTTCATTTGTGCTTTTGCTGTCTTCAAAATCTTACCGCACTCAAAGGCAGCGGGATTATTGGGCTCGTTTTTTGGATGGTAATGGAGAAACCAATCACCTGGTCATTGAGGGGAGCTCCCTTCAGGGTGGAAGCTGTGGGATTTCATTTCTGTCTGCGGTGAGAGCTCTGCTCAGAAGTGGGCTCTCTTGGTGACCTGCTGAGTCTCAGCCCTCTGTGCAAAGAACTGGAGGTCCTGTGCATTTGCTGCCTCCTGCCTGATTTACCCAGCCTGCTTCTGAGTCTTGGCATGGCATCCAGAGGCAGATTTCATCTTTTCCTTTTTTTCAGACACTTTAAAAGAAAAACAGAGCGTTTTCTGAAAACCAAGCGTACTTTCTCACACTTCGTTCTCAGAAACCTATCAGCCTCAGACAGTGTTATTCTTGCCGACTATCTTTCTGCAGAAGACTTTACCTGCTTTTTTTTTTCCCCTAGAAAATTTCATTTTTTATGAGGTAGTTTTCAGGCACAGAAGAGGAGATTTGGCAGTGCATTAAGTCACTTTGACAGTTATTCTAGCATGGTGTCACCTACCTCAAGCCTGCAGCCAACGCCAAAAACACCCAGCTAGCACTGGAAGTTAAGGATAGCTTTAAAGTTTGCATCTTATGAGCTCTCAAGGCAGGGTGTGAAAGTTTGCTATCAGTTGTGAAAGTGAGATTTCTGAAAAGGAAGCTTAACTGTGTTACGACTTTATGCTTGCACTGTTATTGTACAACAATGTTGTTATTATCTAGCTGCTCATCATTGCTTAATCCAAGCACGACACCATAAGCGCAACAAAACTGTCAGTGTATGGTTGCATGCAAATGCCACATTTGTGTGCTTAAGCAGGATGTTTTGCTCCTCTACATGAATAAAACACAAATGAAAAAAATACACAAAATCTGTGGTTAAAACCAAATATGTGGTTAATAAATAAAAATGTGGTTAAAATAAATAGTTCAGTGAGCCCTTAACGTACTATGCAAGAAAAAAGTGCAAATAACCCATTTGGAGTTCAGAGAACATAAAAGGTTGTTTTAAGCACTGTATAACCATATGTATTTGGGTGGGTGGTCATTCACAGACCTGCTTTATGAGAAGCGGGGTTTTTTATTTCAGGTGAAGTTTAGTCTTCCCCTTCTTTCTGCTGCACCTTGAGGTTGTTTCCTAAAGCACCTGTTCAGCTCCATCTCCACCCCCTTGTCTATTGGACAAATGCTTTGAGAGGAAATCAGTAGGCTGCTTGAAAGTCAGGAGGGAGAGTAAGGACAACCTTCAAATGAGGATTTGCTTATGTGGTCTTGGCTTGCTGCTTAATCTTGAAAAACTAACAAGGGCAAAGATGCATATGATTTCATCCCACCCAGTTCGATCCCATGTGATCAAAGGAATAATGGGAATACAGAATTAATGTGGTAGCATGCACACACGATGATATTACTGACAGTGATTGAACCTGAAAAGCCTGAGATCAAGTTCAAATGAGCATCTAGGGGTTTCAAAACTTCTCAAAAATTACACGTGAAAATAGGAAGAAAAAAAAATCAGAAAAATACAATCTCAGCAGAAATTGCTAATGAGATCTCATGCAAAACATTTTCTTGCCATGATCTATTTCCAGACAGGTTTGAAATACTTAGATTGTAATTTGTGTGAATAGTAGTGTGTTTTTTAATGCTTTGAATTCAGTAGCATCAGCATAAGAAAAATGACTCCAGCCCCCTTTACAAACTTCAGAGGTTCAGTTGTGGTTCACCCAGAAGCTGAAGTTGCTCTGGTTGCTCTCAGAGCTAACTCGTTTTCCCTCCCCTGCTTGCTGGCAGAGTCAGAATGCCAAGAAGTTTATTGCACAGAAAAATTCCCCTTTGCTTAAGATGAATTTTGTTGTTGTGTGTACAGTTTCCTCAATAACTTCAAACCTATGTGATTCCTACTACACTTACCTGCAGACACTGATCTTTTAATGCTCATTTTAAATCTGTGCCGTGTTTGTTTGCCAGCCTCTTTTCTGCACCTCTATATCCCAGAATTCAATCTGAAATTGTGTTCATATTGAGAAAGAAAAAATGTCAAACGTCTAAAATATGTTTGTTTTTTTCTTCACGTTCATGATATAAAGAAGTTTCACAGAGCTAGAAGGAGGTCTTTTCTGCGCAAATACATTCTGTAATAAGGGATTTGCTATGGATTTTGAGCTGGTTATGAATTTGAAGTGGAAGACTGATCATGCATTGCCTTGTTAATATTAAGGTGCTTTCTGCTTTCCTTTCGGTGCTCTCACTAGCTCTGCATGCAGTACTGGCCAGAGAAGACGTCCTGTTGTTATGGCCCAATTCAAGTAGAGTTTGTTTCAGCAGACATCGATGAAGACATCATCAACCGGATATTCCGGATCTGCAACATGGCCAGGGTAAGATCAGCGAAATATCAGATTCCCTATTTATTCTCAAAAATACATTTAGGGAAGGGAAAGAGGCAGAACCTAGACTGTGGTTTAGAGATGCTGAATCTCTCACCTAGTAACAGAATTCCACTGCAGAACGTAGTAGCTACTTCCTTTAATTAACATTTAATTGCATCAGTCTATATTGGTAAAAGGCTCTTGGCTGCAAGTAGAAAGTGGAAAGTGGATGATATGAGCTGAAAATCTGTATTTAAATTGAATTCATTTTTCTATGTATATTTGAGAACAATTAATCACTTAGTAGCCAATATAAAACCATCAGTATCATAGGAAATAAACTGAGATAGTGTCAAATGCTCTCCATCTGTTACCTACTGTGCAGCATCTCTGAAGACAAATGCAATGTTTACTGGCTTGACTGGACTCCCAGTGGCCACTGTTTTGCTATAAATAAGCAACTACTGTTTCTGTAAGCAACTTTTTGTCTGCGTTTCTCATCTCCAGTGTAGCTGAAATTATAGAAACAAAGTTTATCTGCACACTGGACCCAGGCAATGCAACTTCAGGGCTGCAGGGAGAGGGTTTCAGCAGGGAATTTTTCTCTCATTAGTTGTTTCCCAGATTGATTATATCTCTTTATTTTTTTTGTTCCTTTTTTTTTTTTTTTTTAAATCAGAAGTGGAAACAGGCTCCAAAAATTACATTTCCATACTGTTTAACACATCTGTCTCTGATTGTGTGGTCAGAGCCTGTGAAGCAGTTCAATTATGCCATTATGGAGTAAACCTTGAGGTCTAACTACATGAATGGCTAAATCACTTACCCTATAAATCACCACCCCATAGTCCAAGCCAATTGCCTCTGAACAAGGGACAGCTGTGAAGTCCTACAGCTAATAAAAGTATGGCCCTGGGACTCACACCAAAGCTGGCTTGTGAATGAAGTGCTGGCAGGGTGGATGCTGGGAACTCCTATTTCTCTGCACCCATCTGTACTCATCACCAACAGCCACTGCTAAAATCCTTGTGAGGATCCTTTCTACCATGGTGCCCACAGATTTTTTTCTGAGGGCCATCTTTGCCTTTAATTCTTACGTCACACCTGACCTCCAGCAGAGGCTACCAGGAAAGTATATTTGATCCATTCTTACGATTTGATGAGACTTTTTTCTCTAGTGGAAACAAAAAAAGGGATCCTTAGCAGATGGTTTCTGCCTGACTTTGTAATATCTGAGATCATGGTTACCATGCAGAATTCTGGAAAGTCCTTGTTCCCGACTCAGGCATCACATATGCACAGTTGGAGGATGCTAGCATTAATGATATGAAATATAGAGGGGAAGATGTCATGTAATTGGTACCCCCTGCTTCCTGCCACATTCCCATTAGCATCTTGAAAATGCTCTTTGTTTCAGCCCCAAGATGGATATCGCATCGTTCAGCACTTGCAATACATTGGCTGGCCAGCATACAGGGACACCCCTCCTTCCAAACGCTCCCTCCTGAAGGTGGTCAGAAGGTTGGAGAAGTGGCAGGAGCAGTACGATGGGCGAGACGGCCGCACTGTTGTCCACTGCCTGTAAGTAGGACTGGAAAACGTCTGTAACCTCACAAAATGTGTCTGACCAGGACCGATTATGGATCTGGAAATCTGGTTGCTTGCCAGGCTTCAGCTGGGGCAAATGAATTTAAATTACATTTGTAATACACTTCAAGTTGAATATTGTGCTATATTACTTCCTGGCCCAGAGATTTTACTGATTGTGGTGGAGTAGCCAAAAGGGCTCTGCTATTTTCTGCTGTGATCAGCTCTGACCACGGAGCCCCAGAGGAGTGAAGAGGAGCATGGCAGCACCCAGGGCTTCCTCTCTGCCACTGCCAGGGATGGGTTTAGCCCTTCCCTCGTGGCACAGCGCTGCCAGCTCTCACGCTGCCCCTGCAGAGCTGCTTTTCCACAAACCCAGGAACTTCCTCAACCAGGCTACTGAATACAGACCTCTCTCGGCATATGTGCTGCTGTGTAAGTACTGCTTTCTTCCCTTGCCTGGCTTCATCTGCTGCCTCTTTTCTTCTGCACCCAGGAACGGTGGGGGACGTAGTGGCACCTTCTGTGCCATCTGCAGTGTGTGTGAGATGATTCAACAGCAAAATATCATCGACGTGTTCCACATAGTGAAAACGTTAAGGAATAACAAATCCAACATGGTGGAGTCACTGGTAAGCTTTTTTTCTACACTTTACCCCACCTAGCATATGTAGGGGGAGACTTCAGTATAGGTACAAAATTTCATGGCTTAGCCCAGCATGAATCAAACCCAAGCATAATATGAAGCCAGCACAATTAAAAACATTCCCATTTTCACATATGTAATGAGTCCCTCAGTCCCATTATTTCTCATCTTGATCAGCATGGGGAGCAGAGCATCCCACACCCAGCTGCCTCCAGGAGGTCAAACCCCAAGTTGCTGTCACCATGGCTGTGGGAAGGGGCAGGATTTGTCCTTTTGCATATGCATACAGCCTAGTACTTATCGCTGTTACATGCCTTGAAAGCAGGCAGGGAGAAGAGTCTGAAGCCCAGACCATGCTCCCTGCAACCAGAGAGATTAAACTGTCCTGAATTCAAACATCTCAATCGATCACACTGAATTCTTCCTCAAAAGCAGTGAGGGCACAGAACATGAACTAATGAATAGTCCATAGAGTGGCTGTCTCTCTGAGCATTTTTCTTTTCCATTGATGATAACATCTCTTAGTAATGCTTGTTCAGTATCACAGAGAAATACAATTAATGTTTGCCTGGTCCTGCCAAACGTTTAAGAAGGAAAGAGGAGATATTTTTGGCAGCTTGTGGAATGAGGCTCCACAGAGTTCATCTGCATCCCAGCGTCACTGACTTCTGTTTTGTCTTTCAGGAACAGTATAAATTTGTATACGAGGTTGCACTGGAATACTTGAGTTCCTTTTAGCCCAGCGAAGGGAGGGGAGCCTCCGACATGGCAGACCCCAACCCCTGGCAGACGCTTCTCCCCTCTCCCACGTTAGAAGGCAGTAACAGGTGTGGGAAGGAAAACCTCTCCTTCCCGGAGCAAGAGACTGGGACTGCACAGACCTCGCTGGAAGGAGGAGATGATGCCTGTGTTTGCTGCTGCCTGCTTTCTATTGGAGCATCTACCGCTTCTTAAATAACCTACTGTACAAATTAGCAAAATGGGAGACAGACTGAAAGACTGGACTTTCTAATCCCCTCTGACTTCTCTCCTCTTTGGGATTGTATTTTTGCTCTCCTTGCCGCAGAGTGGGGAAAGAATGAAACCCTTAGGAAATTCTCTTTTAAATGTTTCCTTTTTAAGTTATATTTTTATTTTTGAATCTCAGTCTTTAATTTTTGAACTTCATGCAGCAGTCATTTGGGAAAAATGAGATAGCCATAGGGGATCTATGACATGTTTCATTACAATTTGCCTACCTTACCTGTGTTCATTTTATTTTCCAAATGAAAAGGCCAACACCAAAAACCACTGGAATTATATTTCTGTATCTGGTTCCTTTCAGCATGAAAATAGATGATGGAGATGAGAAATTGTTCATGGATTCACTGCCTCGGCTTCTACATGTTTCCTCCCAGTTTCTGCTAGACTCCCAAGGCTGTGTGCATGAACTGGTTACATCTCTACTCCGTGTTCATTTCAGCGCTGGTGAAGCAATGGCATTAATGAGTTTCCCAGCCACTTAAACCCTAAGGTTAAATATTTGCATCAAACAAATTGCATTTGTCTTGCAACTTTGGTAACTTTGTTACCATATTTTTCAAGTATTTGCTGGGGTGCAGTGTGTCTTTGAAAAACAGGGTATAAAGTAGGTGTTACCGATCATATACTATGTATTATTATTTTTTTATTTATTATTTGTATTGCTGTGGAACTTAGGACCCCTAGTCCTGACAGGACCCTGCTGAACTAGGCACTGTGCAAAGAGAGAACAAAGAAGGTTCCTGCTCAAGAACTTAGAATCTGAAGGTAATCTTAAAATTGGGTTTCATCAAGGTTTCCTCACTGTTTCCAAACTGTTCTACAATCAGATGTAGCCGAGTGATTTATTCACATTTCCAGCTCCTGTGTATTTCAAAATGGTAACCCATCCAGGCTGTAGGAAAGGTGATGTACATACACAGAAACCTGTTCTGACGTGCTCAGAAAAGTCTTTGACCAGCACAGCAACTTTCCATCTTAAGCAACACAGCTTTTGTTTTGTTCTGCAGAAATGCCTGTGCAGCTCTACTGCCTTGAAACAAACATCAGATGTGTTTTGCCCTGGTTCTGGATCTCATTCTGACTTCCTAGAAGCTAAGAAATTACTTTTCTAGAAGAGTATGCTTAAATAGTTAATCACTAAGGTCTGCAGGATAATCTTGGAGAATTTTAAATGAACAAGGACTGCAACATTCAGTATTTCAGTTTAGCTATTTATTTATCTTGAGGGTGCAGGGATACTGGGTTACTCTGTGTGTAAATTAGATTCTGGGAGATGCAGGTTTCTTCAAATACAGACTTGTTAAAAGCTAGACTGAATGTAAGAGTTTAAGGAAAACTCTGCCACTTTGTAGTTTTCTACCCCTAAGTGAATACTCAGAGACTGTGCTGGGAACTCTGTTGTGTTAATGCATGGCACAGAGAATGCCAGAAGCTCAAAAAAATTTACTAATCCCACATGCAAATTGAAAAGGCACCTCTGCTTCATAGACATTCGTTTATAAAAAATTATACCTTTGACTTGACAATGAAATATGAAAATTAAATCTGATAAAAGCAACTTGATGTAAATAGACCAGTATCTAACCAAAAAGTTATCTCTGTCAGGACCTGCAGCAGTCTTAAGAAAGGATGCTTGGTATTTGCAAATGGAACAGCAATAACACTTCTTCCTGCTCAGCAGAAGAGGGGCTTGCAGAGGATGCTGAACTGTTTAGCTCATGTTTTTTCCAAGAAGCTTTGGATTCTTGGCTTCTTCCAAGTGAAAATCTTGAAGGTCTTAAATGTGGTGGACTACAGCATCCCTTGATGTAGCTAGAGTGCCACAAAGAATTGAAGAGAACCCCCTCACAGGTTCCTCTGCTCTGTTTCAGGTTGGTCTTCCCTGTTGCCTGCAGAAATCCCCTTTAGTTCATAATGGTGCTTGTCTGTCACACCAAGTGAATGTCTGGTGTTACAGGAAACAAATTGCTTGTTTGATTTACTTTTTTTTTCTTTATTTTTTATTTTTTTCTGCTAAGCTACACAAGCAATTCCGCAAAAGAATCCGACAAAGCAAAATTGTGACATAAATATTAGAAGGAAGGCAAAATGCAACTGTTTGGATTTCAGACATAATTGCTGTAACAACAGCTTGCTGTAGCAGCATAGGTCAGTAGTTTGGGGCCAGTTGCAAAGAAGAGGAAGAAGGAGGGAATCTTGATCCCAAGATGGGATTTTACAACTGCCCAGGTTGAAAGAAGGTAAGGAGAAACTACCAGTGAAATGTTCATGACTTCACCAGCTCCAGAAAGCCAGAGAGAATCACTCCCTGTAGAAGCTTTAGAAATATTAATTAAAAACATTCTGTTAATTTTATGTGGAAACTAGCATACCTATAGCTACTGAAAGACTAGTTCAAGCTCTGAGGTTAATACCCAGGAAAAAGGGAATAGAGAGGTAGAAGAAATGGCAATATAACCAAAAAATTAAGTGTCAGAGGTGATTCCAGGCTTAACAATAGCATAGAGGAAAGTAGATTTAAAAGCCAGAAGTAAGCCTAGAGGAGGGATGTATGCATGGAGAGAAGCAGGTGTTAGATGAGCAGAGCAGAATAGCTCTTGCAGTGAAGTTGTTTAAGGTCTTGAGGTAGGTTTGAATGTATTTTCATGGTATAAAAAATATTAGTACAGGGTCAGTGGCAAGTACCAGCTGATGTGTTCCATGTGCTTGTAGCCCTCTGAGAATGCAAAGTGATGTTAGCAGTGAAAGGTGTTTAAGCTACACTTTACCTTGTATTTGCAAGAAACAAGTTTGATGCAAATGTTGTTGGTTTGCACAGCTGAACTGTTAGTCACAACTGATTATGTGCCAGCTCAGTTCAGTGTTTCAGCTTTCTTCTAATGTTCAGCTGACAACCAGCGTGGAAGGATGCTCAGCAAACACTACAGGTGGTTCTGCTTATGGACCCAAACTGTTATCAGCACACAGTTGCATTGCTTTCAGGGAACTGACCTGGGTCTCTGGTGGCTCAGGGATTTACACTGTTCTGTGCTACTCAATGCATATATGTTGAATGTAAATTAATGATGAAGAAAAAGAAAAGAAGGCCACTTTAAATAACCTTGGTATCCTAAGGTTCTTTAAACCATAGAGAACAACCAGTAGCAAAATAGGTAATGTGTTTGAAGCAAGATCATGGGCGTTGGGTTTGTTTTCACTGGGAAAGAGAAATGATGAGGTAAAGGAGGCTTTCTCACTCCTGAAAGGGTTAACAGTCAGGGACAAACTTTCCAACCGCAGTATTACTTGTTGTGGTTGGGGAGCAGTAATATAAGGTAGAAAAGGTGAATTCCTCAATGACTGAATTTTAGGCTGGGAAAACATGATTTTGACAATATTTGAAAGGTGGTAAGGAAAACATTTATTCCCATTCCAACATCCTGGCAGAGTTGGGTGAGAATTGTTTATTGATAGCATAGTATGGATCTGTAGTGTAATCTGATATTCAGGGAACTAGAAATAAGTCAGTAAGGCTGGGGGTATGGGGACTATCTCATACACAGCACAGAGTAACCAACATCTTAAATTGTTACGGGATATAACTAAAGCAAGAGATATTGAGGCTGGCTGCTGGAGAAAGGAGGCCCTGAGTTGTTGCAGAAAAGGGACAGAGAGACTAAACACCCTGCAAGGTACAGTAGGTTTTGAAATTTTTTTTTTTTATTATTTTTTTCAAAATTAAGATCTCTGCAGGAGCTGCATCCTTTGCAGGCACCTCCCCAGCCCCCCAAAAAGGCTGTAAAGAATAAGTTATTTGAGGACCTGTAAGTAGACCTGAGGTACTTGTTTATTAATGTGAAGAAAACAGACCATGGATGGGAGCATAGTGTCCGTGTGAAGGTAACTGAAACAGGTGGCAAACAAGCAGATGGGGATTTAGTGGGTTTAGGTCTGCAGACTGAAATAACTGGTATTGTCTGATCCAGTAAGTCTGTGGTTAGCAGGAGGCATTTCAGTTCATGACTGAAATTTTTTAGCCAAGTTGCACAGAGTTCTGTCTGCTTTTGTCATGCTTAGCTCCAGCACTGGTTGGTCCCACTTCATTTATTCACATTTCAGCCATTTGTGTGAGCTAGAGTTGTCCATTTTAGTCCACAGGCAACAGGTGGCTAGAAGGAAAGATTTTTACAAGCACGAAAAAGCCATAGACTTTGTCACCTTCCCCCCCCAAAATCAAGCCGCGGTTCCTGTACCCCATCTCTCCTGCTCAGCACCAGCCCATGTTACGCCCACACGCCCAGAAAGTAGACAGATATTTTGGGAAATGCTGCGACCCCTAATCAGTCTGGTCCATGTAACTCTGTAGGGAAAGGAGGGAATCCCAAAGCGTAGCTTCTGGGCAGAGAAACATGGATTTGTGTGTCAGGAGGTTTCTGCCTTTTATTCTGGATCTGTAAATGCCCTGTGAAAATGTCCAGTGGCAATATAGACCCTACAGTAGTAGATTTAGACTTGTAGATGTTAGACTTGTTTTTCCATCTACTTTTCACAGGTCCTTTAGAATTAGGTTAGAATTAGGCTCACTGGCAGTCATCGTGGGTCACTGCTCATGAGTCCTGTAAAGGCAGAGAAAGGAGAGAGGCTCCTGCCTGCAGCAGGCGGTTCCGAAGGCATTTCAACCAATTGCTATCTGGAAGAGAGGGAGGAAAAGAAATCTCCTTTGGAGAAAGACAGACATTGGAGGTAAAGGAAGATTACACGGAGACCTGAAACAGGTAGGAAACTTCCACTTTGTTCTCCCTCTCCTTCTCGCAGGGGTTTACTTATGTCATTCTCGCTTTTGTGAGTTCATGCCAAGATCATAAAAAACCAGGTGGTAGCACATTCGTGGAGCTCTCTAGAGATGGAGCAGTCAGTGTAACAGAGGGAATAAATCCTGAGGGACAGAGATAAAAGGCGATTTTCTTGAGAGGAATCTTCAAGCACGAGGTGCCCCTATCTGTCACACTCGCAGGGTTCTTGGAAAGTCATCACAGAGCTGTGCACAGTCCTGGCGTATTCCTGCATGTGCAATACAGTGCAAATGCTGCACTCAGAATGCTTCTTTGTCCTATAATACATTTAAACAATCAACTGTGTTATACTGGCAGCCAAGTTAATATTTAGCAGTTGGAAAGGGCATCTCCTGAACTTGGTACGAGCCTGCTGGGTTCTCATTTGAGATCCTTCCGATTGTCTGAAGTGAACAAGCTTCATTTCTGTGTTAGAAACATAAATGGGACCATGTGACAAAAGGTATTCAGCATGACTCTTGAGTCTAAAACTCAGTACACCTCTTAGAAAACTGTGAAGTGGTAAAACAGAGTATTACATGTTCATTGCACAGACCTTCTCAGGAGCAGGAACTGAGGAAGCCAGCTAATTAAAATTAGGTATACAGAAATGAGTAATGAGTACTCTATTAACCCCCCTGTGTTCATATTTTATTTAGATTGCGGTCTTCTGTAGCCATACATATTTGATACACAATTTAAATGCAAGTGCCCTTTCTTTCCCTGTTCCCCAAAATACCCGTAGCTATTCCTACAGCATAGCAAGCAAGCAAAGCCCACTTTCTGCAAGGGCCGCTAGGAAAATCTATCATGTAGTATCTGTTTATTGACTTGGGAAATATTAGTCATCTTCCTCCTCATACGTATTTGAAGAATATACAATTTGGTATAGCAGTTAAGTAAATTCATGCATTTTTATACATCAAGACCAAATCCTGATGATACCAAGTTTTATGGAAAGACAAAAATCTTGCTGAGTTCCAGTGGCCTCTAATCTCTAATCCTTATTTTCTGTGTTAAAAGATTTTAAAAGCCTCCCTTGTAACCGATAGACTACACTTAGAATATCCTACAGTTTCATATTGGAGTAGCATAATTGTGAAAACCTGGCAGCTTGTTCTGTTTGTAAGAAGCGAGAGATCTAAATGAGCCTTCCTAGCCTTGTCCCAGTGCATCTAACAGAATTTTCACCCTTATTTTCTGTTTTCAACCTAACCCTTATAAAAACAAAATAGTGCAGCAGACTGAATGACAGCTGCTGGTGTTCCCATAGTGTTTCCTGGTGGGGGGAGGAGGAGGAAACTTTTTTCTTACAAGTCAATTCAGCATGAGCTGCTTCTAAGCAGTGTAGTCAGAGACAGTTTTGTCTGGAGCAAGGATTTACTTGTTGTTGCCCGGTGGAGGTACGCTGTAGATGTAACCTTTGGGACCAGTCCTGATCTTTTCTATATAGGTTACCAGCAGAATAGGGGTCACTTTAGCAGAAGTACTCGTTGCAAAATGACAGGGCTTCAGTGAAGATTTTTTACTGGGATATGTTGCTCTGCAGAGGTTTATTTCCTTGTGTGAGTACATCATCTTTCAGTGGGGACCTCCAGGAAATCTTCCTTACCTGAAGTTACAGAAAGGAGTGCATTCGCAGGGGTGGAAGGAGGAATGAGGCCAACATTTTATAAGCTTTCATGAATTCAGCTATTCTAAAAGACTCCCCAGGACAGATGACGATGGGTTGTTTGCATTGCTGAAAGTGTAACTAGCTCTAAGGCTTCGTGTGCTGGACTTCGGTGTACCTGGAGCAGAACTGGCATTATCCCCCTCATCACCCCTGTAGCCCTTTCTTATGTCTTCAGCACTTACGCTGCTCTTCCATGCCGAACGTTGCAGCTGCATCCTTGACACCTTTAATCCATACTGACTAACCGCATTGACAAAATTCACTCCTGTATTGATTTAATCTCCTTCACCTCCTTCCCCTCTGCGCCAATCCTGTTGAAATTAAAATGTACTAGCATCACTTGCTACCAGACTTGTTACTACTTCAGACAGCAATGCTGCAGCTGCATCTGGATCAGCAGGATCCTATCCAGCTCCCTGGATGCATTCTGCCAGCAGGGAGGAATGCTGCATGAGAGCAAGTCTCTGCTGTTGCGATTCTGCCCCCATCTCCCCTCCTTTGGCCTTTATGGATTACTGGTGAAACTCACTTGTACAGTTTGGATGTTTGATAGATAAAGCACGTACGGAAAAAAAAGGAAAAACTATAAATACAAAAATCTCAACACTGTGCATTCAGTGTCTTTTCTTTCTAGCTTAAAAGAAGGAAGGTAAATAATGTCAAGTCAATGAATATCAGATATATTTTTTGACTGTACATTACAGTGAAGTGTAATCTTTTTTTTACAACTGCGAGTCCATCTTATTTATTCTTGTAAATGTTCCCAGACAATGTTTGTAATATGGGCTGTGTTGCAAATCCATAAAATAAATCTGTGATCTGAGATTAATGTTTTACTAAGAGACTCTTGTACTCGTGCCTTTTCTTTGCACTTACAGGGGACAATATATTGCAAGTAATACTATTAGCAGTGGCGGGGTGATGGCACATGAAAAATCAAGACAAGCTTCTTGTCACATTGATGGGCAGCTGGCTTTACATTATGGTTATCATTTAGAAGTAGCTTAACAGCAGCAAAGAAAATTCACCAAGCGCTTCAATTTAGCTGAAAACTTTGAGCCAGCCCTCGCAGAAAGCCACTGTATGTGAGCTGAGTATTTTTTAAAATTATAGTCTTTGAAGCATGAGTTAGAGCCAAGCATATTCTTGCAGTGTTTTCTTTCTAACAGGTATTACTGTCTTGTTTCCTTGGTATTCAAGAGCTGAATAGAGATCGCTAATGTTACTGAGATTTTTCTGGTGTTTCCTATAGACAGGCACACGAGGGTATTTTGTGTGCAGGTGTTGCATGCCAAACTTGAATGTAGGATACGGATGTCAGTAACAAATATTTTCACACGTTTACCAGCAGGCTGCCGTCTTCTGCCCTCATTTATCAGCAGCCACATGGCAGTGCTTGCCATCCAAGTCAGTTTATGCAAAGTAGGAGACTGTAGGCAAGGAAGTAGACAAGGCTCCTGTGCTCTGAACACTGCTTTGTTCCCACAGTGCAAGCACAAGCACATTCACAGCTTAGTGCCAGAATAGGAAAGTCCTGTCTTGCTACCCTCATACAACCCAAACTGTAAGAACTAATGTCTTTTACATTGTTAATTAGCCTCACTAAGAAGAAAAATAATAAAAATCAGGCATCTGAACAAGGATGATGTAGCTCTTGTTTTTCCTAAAGTGTGGTAAATCTATCTTGGAAGCATAGTTTTGTACTCATTTCCGTATAGATGCATTTTTTTCTTTTCCAAATACTTTGTTATAATTCTTCATTGATATGAAGAATTATTCTGTAACTGCACTAGGTATTGGTGTTTGGCTCAAACAAAGGTGTGCAGTCACAGAGTTACTGTTATGGTGGGGAGCCAGTTAGGAGGAAAAAGTTGATGCCAGAGCAAGCTCCACACCAGTGGAAAACTTGAGGAAACTTGACTGGTGCAGTCCTGAGTGTTTAATAGAAACAGTTGTATAGTGGTAGTGATTTATTACAGTTCATCTTGGTACTTGAGCCTGGTTTATATTTTACAGACACCTGATACTAACAACAGGTTGCACTTACAGAACATAAACAGCAGAGAACATATTGCAGGTGATCCTACAGAGATACACATTGAAATTCCAGCATTCAGAAACACGTTCACCCTTCTGTTCTTTTCTTGTCTTCCCAGCATAAGACAGCAATGGGTGATGTGCTGGGGAATGCAGAAGTCAGAAATGCCTGGGGTTCAAAGTGCTTCACACCCTGCTCCCCGGTGATACCATTGCTGACACATGCAGGGTACGAACCTGTAGAGATTTAATCGAGCTCACTCAATGCCTTCAGGTATCAGCTGCTACTTTTCCATCCATTTCCATGATAACCAATATCTTTGTATTGATTCCACTCTGCCTAAGCTGAAGCTCTCATTTTTATGGGTTAAACCTTCAAATACCACACATCATGCTGAGCTGAATATGCAGCTGTTGTGTAGAAGCAGATGTTAAAAATGGGGCTTGTCTTATTTAGGCATGACTGTCCACATGATAGTCATCCAGCTCTAGAGAGGGAACCTGGACAATGGCCTTGATGGTGAGAAAAAGGCCTCTCCAGAGGGTGAAGCTGCCTTGGATAGAGCCATCTAAGGCAAATGTGTTGTGTTGTCCTCTGGATGTCCCTGGTTTCTCCAGTGATCGAGTTAGGCAGGTGACCAATACCAACTTGGACAGCTAATTCTGAGATCTCTTTAGTTAGATGAGTTGCATTCCCTCTGTTACTGAACATACTGCAAGCAAATTACATCATAAAATAACATAAAGAGAGAAGGAACAGATTTAATGCTTCTTGGTTATTCTTGGAAAATGCTTCATCTGATCCATCTAGGTTGGCTGTTTCAGGTCCTCCCTCTCTTTTGTCAAGTTCCACATTTGAAAAATTAAGAAAATGTTTTTTTTCTTTAAAAACAAAAAAAAAGGGGGTCTGTTCTGTGTTTACTTTTGTACACCAATGTATAACTTTAATTTTACAGGAGGTAAACCAAATAAAAAAAGACTTTTGTTCTTTCTTGTGTTTTGGTTTTGTGCGTTTGTTGTGGTTTGTGTGTGTGTGTGAGCCATTTCTATGTGTGTTTGGGAGGATGTCATATTTCTTACTACGAGAGAGTTTATAACTTGCTTGTAAAAGTTTATCCCGTAAATGTTAATATATGGTGAATCAATAACTACAGAGCATTTATGGTGCAGGTCAATAGGGTCCGTAACATTTAGTGATCTGCTTATAAACACCTATAATGGACTCTTTATGCCAGAAGTAATATAATATTTAGTTCTCCTTTATTAATACCTTGTAAACGATATACTGTTAAGATATGCTGCAACCTGATGGATTTTCCGGCAATGTGATAAAATAGCTCTTTATTGCTTGTGCTTGTATAAATGGTTCCCTCTAAAACATCTGTGAAAGAAAGTCTGGCTTGCATATAAAAATTAATGAAAGATGCAGAACGTTTTTCTGGAGAAAAGTAAGGCCAGAAGTTGCTAGCAGTAACTCCCTCAGTGTGCTCACGTATAGGATGGTCCATGTAGGATCAAGAGGCTGAAGAGCTTGTACTAAACATCCCTTTCTTTGAAATCTCTGAAGGTGTTCCTAGGAGTATCATTTCCTTTGTGTTTCATGACTGAGTGTGCTGAGCAGACAGGAGAGGGTCCCAGTTATCCGCAACGTACCAGGCAATATCAGGCAATATCTGCAGTGACCTTTCTTCCAGGTAATGTTTTGAATTGTGCTCTCTCCATCCATTGGACCTAAGCAGGGCTTCTAACCCAATGCTGGAGCAAGCCAACAGCACATCCAGCGGGTGTCTCCCTTCAGGATTAGACGGTCCTTTTTTGTGCATCTTTCTTGCAAATCAGCCTGTCCCGCCAGCAGAGCAGGGACATGACGGTGTGCGCAGCTCTGTGTGCGTGCACGTCTCCTGTCACCTTGTCCTCCTGCTAAAAGCTGGGCACAAATATTCCTCTAAATTAAGAGCTACTGGAAGGGATTATTGGCAGCGTTTGTACAGTCGTGAGTGCTGACGATGAAGGAACGAGTTGTCTAGGAAAATGCTGATGACGTGCAAAGAAAGAAAATTATTGTTTATTCTCGTGCCATAAGAACTATCTTGCAACAAAAAATAGGCTTTAACAAAGGAGGTAATGAGCAACACCAGTTCTCTGTGCTTCTGTGTACATGCCATTGAGCTGTAATTACACCACATGGCTGAATGTGTGAATACACCTCCAGTAAGCAGCCAGCTCCCAGCATGTTCGTGTGACAAGAAGCATCACAACACCCGGTAATAGTTCCTCTGTTGGTTGTAGTTTGAAGGATAGATTAGCTGTGGACTGAGTCAAAATTAATACCAAAAGCCAAAATAAGCAAATATTTTTTGTTTCTACTTTGCATCTTCATTAAATTACATGAATGTAGAAATTACGTTTGTGTTTACAGATCCAGTTTGGAGTTTACTCCACACTATTGGTAACATCTATGGTATTTGGGGGGATTTACTGCTTTTAGCTGTGGAGGTTCTGCAGAAATGCCTGAAGCCATCTTTTACACAAAGCTGAGGCCCATTGCTTCAGTCTTCTGTTGCTCAGGGATGTTTTGTATCCAGGTGCAGAAAAACTGAAGCGCTACTTTCCCCCTTTTTTTTTTTTCCTAGTAAAATTTTATGCTAAATTCTAAAGCCTGCAAGCATTTTTTAATGAAGGGCTGTTCCATACATTCACTGCTTGCTGTGTTGCTGGTATATAATGCTTTTATTTCAATCTGCTTCACTCCAAGTTCCATCATCTAAAAGTGCCCTTGTTCCAGCAGGTGTTGAAAGAAAAACCCCTACCTCTAGAAATACAAATTCTTCTCAGTGTGGATCTGCTCACGTTGCAGCAGGGTCAGGGCAGACGTGTGAATTGGTGGCTTGGCCCAAGCTCAGGAGTTGAGGAATGAGAAGTGAGCGTGTCTGGGGACGAGGAGGGGTTGACCCAATAGTGCCTTTCCCCATAGTGGTGTTGGAGCAGGCTGCTCCCTTGCTCCTGACAACTTCCAGTGCTTTCCAGAGCTACAACAGATTTCATCCCACTGGGATTTCTCTCATTTTTCATCACCTCTGAAGGTGGCCCGGGACCTCCTGCCTGCTCCTCCCAGGTGTTTGCCAGAGGTGGGATCCCACATGGGCTGAGGGCAGCCCCCTTTGCCTGTCTCCAGCCTGCCCAGCACCTCTCGGATACATCACAGCCTCCTGCCAACAACTAATGTGTAGAGTCCGAGGCAAATAGGCTCCTTCCCCTAGCCTCACACCCTTGGTAAGCAAAACAGCTGCAGAAATATCAAGCAGAGAGCAAGTATTAACTCAAAACTCAGTTTGGGCTATAAGCATGCAAATAATTCCCGTTTTCTCGTTGGCAGACTCCCGCTGCTACAGTTGCTTATAGGAATCAGCTTTGCAAGTTTGGAGACTAATTTTGAAAAGAGCAGTTTGGGAACGATAAGGCCAGGCTTAAAAGACACTCCAACAGCGTGGAAATACAAGCAGATACCAGCTTGCTAAAAGAGAATAGATTTCTATCCATCCCGGATATTGTAGCAGCTTGTGGTCTGCAAGCATGTTGAACGATGTCAGAATTTTGTATGCATCAGGCTGGGGAAAACACTGCTGTTGCTTCAGTGCTGCTGCTCTGTCATTTTTGGCTGCTGCTTTTAAAATGATTTTCCCACTGTGGCCCCTGTACGAGGCTGTGTAAGCAGTGGTAAGTCTTTGCAGGGAGAGACCAGGAGGAGTTCAGAGAGGAAAGTTTATTCCAGGGAATCTGGCTGGATTTGGGGGGAGATAACTCC